CCCAGATTAGTTTTACGAAGTGATACGAAGAAAGTGGTACGGGTATTGTTAGAAGTACATACAGCGATTACAAAGGGGGTGTCCTACTTTACCCTATGGGGCGTTTGACCCACCAATGGAGCCTCTTACTATCTATTCCTACCTTGGTCTGTCCTGCGTGGACGACGTCAGTTTATAGTTGACTAGAAAGAGAGAAGCTACGTAATCAAATGCCTGAGGTAGAAACAATCCCAAAGGGGAATAGCGCCCGAAAGCGAGAGAGGGTTGAGCCCTGCGCCAAGAAGCGGTGTGATTGGCCGCCGGCCCCACGAAATTTCCCTTCGTTTTACTCGCACTGAATCCGATTCTTTGATCGAATCGACCGACTTCAACCTCCGCCAAACTCAGTCCCCGGCCGTTTCGTCGACAAACCCCCTCCTCAACTCTCCCCCCCCACCAGCCGAAAACACAGCAATCATGGCCGCTGTCCAGGGAGTCATCTCGAAGCGCAGAAAGTTCGTCGCCGACGGTGTCTTCTATGCCGAGCTGAACGAGTTCTTCCAGCGCGAGCTGGCTGAGGAGGGCTACTCGGGTGTCGAGGTCCGTGTGACTCCTACCGTCACCGATATCAGTACGTCGCCCTGGAATTTTCTATTGGATTTGTTTTGAGGGGGAAATGGATGGTCGAAGGGAGAGAGAAGGGTCGAATTGATGGAAGATATGGGCGATCATGGACCGGGCGTGTTGGAGACACCAAAAAAAGAAGAGGAGATACATACAGGTTGTCGGAAATGCTTGTGCTAACGGATGTCTCTTCCTTCCAGTCATCCGTGCCACCCACACCCAGGAGGTTCTCGGTGAGCAGGGCCGCCGCATTCGCGAGCTCACCTCCCTCATCCAGAAGCGGTTCAAGTTCCCCGAGAACTCCGTCTCCCTCTATGCCGCCAAGGTCCAGAACCGCGGTCTGTCCGCCGTCGCTCAGTGCGAGTCCCTCCGCTACAAGCTCCTCAACGGTCTGGCCGTCCGTCGTGCCTGCTACGGTGTTCTGCGATTCATCATGGAGAGCGGTGCCAAGGGTTGCGAGGTTGTCGTGTCCGGCAAGCTCCGTGCTGCCCGTGCCAAGTCCATGAAGTTCACTGTACGTTTTATCCGATTTATCGATTTCGACAGCATCTGTGGTTGTGTTGGAAGGGGAGGGTGGAAGAAGAAGATGGAAACGATTGCGCCAGCGCTTTTGAAGATGGCTTCGTGCAGATCAACTAACGTGTGTTCTGTGATATAGGACGGCTTCATGATCCACTCCGGTCAGCCCGCCAAGGAGTTCATCGACTCCGCCACCCGCCACGTCCTCCTCCGCCAGGGTGTCCTCGGTATCAAGGTCAAGATCATGCGCGGCTCCGACCCCGAGGGCAAGGCCGGCCCCCAGAAGACTCTCCCCGACTCCGTCACCATCATCGAGCCCAAGGAGGAGCAGCCCGTGCTGCAGCCCATGAGCCAGGACTACGGCGCCAAGGCCATCGCCGCTCAGCAGCTCGCCGAGCAGCAGCGTCTTGCCGAGCAGCAGGCCGCCGAGGCCCAGGAGGGTGGTGCTCCTGCCCCTGCCGAGACCTTCGCGCAGGAGTAAATGCAAAGCCAAGTAGTTCGTTGAATTTTATTCCCTTTTTTTTTAATTTAAAAAATGGAAAAAAGAAGAGAGGCTGTGGATTTTGTCACGATGTTAAGGCCCTGCTACTCCCTTTTTTATTATTTTTTTTTATAACTCTCTCTCGATCCCGTCCCTGTCACCTTAAAACCCATATCCCTCATACCGACCGCAAACAAATAAAAAGAAATTTGTCAACCACTTCAATTAGCTTTTCTTTTTCTTCTCTCCGTTTTGGGTGGTAGATTGGGATACATGTGCGGCCTGTAGTATTCGGGTATTCTACAGATTGCGTTTCTCGATTGGGAATAGGTAATCTAATCTGGATACGAGTCTGCAAGACATAAACAAGAGCTCACTATAGCTAGCCAGCTTCCTGTACGGCTTTCGATGAGTTAGTACAGTTTATCGACTCGCCCAATCAAACGACCATGAGTACAATATCTACCTACCAACCCAGATCTTACTCCCGAGTACGAAATATATATCTGTACATGAGCAAAATATAACTACATGCTTATAGTTATCCAACCAAAGATATAAAGCCAAGGATAATACAGTAGTCTCGGTATAAAGATATATATAAACCATCCATGCATTCGTAAATTGACATTTTCTGCTTTTTTGTTCTTAAAAGGCTAGTAGTTCTCGCATCACATCATCATCCCTTCTTTTTCTAACTTAATTGAATCTATGCCAAGCTAACTGGTTAACTAGTAAGTCTAACTGAGCTAAGCTCACAGGAAAGTCTCGACATTGATCTCCAGTGTGCTGACGGGGTATTTCAGTTCGTAGTTTTCGAGCACCGAGGGATGCAGGATACCGAAGGCGCCGATGGTTTGCACCTTTCCGCCGATGCGGAGCTTGACGGCTGCGGCGTGGCCGGGGAAGTACGTGGCTTCTGTTGTGGGTTAGACAATAGTCTTGTATATTGGGAAGGGGGAGGGGAGATGGGATGATTGGGATTGGTGGACCTACCCTCGAGCTCCTCGATCCAGTAGTGCGAGTCGCCGACGGCGGGGTTCTCCAGGCCCTCTTCGCCGGTGATGAAGGCGCTCTTGAGCATGGACATGATGCGGTCCAGGAGGCCGTGAACGACTTCGAAGCCACTGGTCTTGCCGCACCATGCGGCTGCGAAGTGGCGCTCGTTGCGGCTCTTCCGCTCCAGGGAGAGGTCCTTGTACGCCACGTCGCTGACTTCGAAGATCTTCATCGGCACCGAGTGGTGCTTGTTTTCGCGGATCGTCTTCAGGAGGCCCGGCAGCAGGCTCGTGCGCACCACCTGGAACTCCAGGGTCTTGGGGTTGGACAGCTTGACCGCTGTGTTGCCGTCGTCCTTGCGGTTCAGCCAGCCGAAGTTCTCGTCGTGCGAGCACAGGATCAGAGGCATGACCTCCGACCAGCCGGCCATGGCGGCTTCCATGCGCACAATGTCCGTGAGCTTGTTGATCGGGAGGGGCTGAGCGACCGTGCCGGATTTGCTGGGGAAGGATCGCGGGAGGTTGTTGAATCCGTACGCGATCGCGACGTCCTCCATGATGTCGGCCTGGTGAAGCACGTCGGCGCGGGTCGGCGGGATGAACACGTCGATCACATCGGGCGAAGAAGTCGACGGTTGGGCGTCGTACGCCATCTTCCGCAACAGCTCGCAGATCTCGGCGGGGGCAAGCTCGAGGCCACAGCACTCGTTGATGTAGGAAACCTCCGCTTGAGCGGTGCGGGGGGACATGTCTGGCGAGACTCGGGTCTCGTTGTTGTGGTCGGAGACAATTTGGATCGGCTCGACCCTGATCAACAGTCAATACATATCCTAAAACGGCGGGCGGTTGATGGGGCTGGCGTCTTACGTGAAGGGCTCAGCAACATGCTGGGAGAACATCGACACCAGAATCCTGTTCACAATCTCCACCTTGGTCTTGTCAAGGGCCGTAATCTCAATGAACACATTTTTGGTGTTGACGCTGATCTTCGAATGGTCGCCGTTGATAATAGGCGGAAGAGAGCAGACGGTCTGGTTCGCATCGTGGATTACCGGATAGACTGGCGAGTCGCGAATAATGTGAAGGTACTTGCCCAGATGCCTGTCTTTCTGTGATGGGAGTCAGCATCCGCCGAAGGCCACCTCACTGTGCATGACTCATACCTCGTAGAAGGCCATCAACTCCTCACCGTCCAATTCCTTGGTCTGGTTGAGCGGGACGAACTTGATATCCTTCGGGGGAAGGGCATCATAGGTGAAAGGACCCTTTATCGTGTCCAGGTCGTGGGTGCCGATCGAGACCAAGGTTCTCTGTCTCGCGAGGTTTTGATGCAGCTTGTCCTGCAGAGCGATGAAGGATTCGTAGCCCGCCTGGGTGAAGGTGATGTTTCGCAGAATCGCACCAGAAACGAGAGGCCGGATTTTCATGGTCTGTCCCGTTGTCTTAGTCTCGAATATCTCCGAAATCGCCATCCAACTTTCGTGCGACTCACATTTTCCTTGACAATGATCTTTTCCATCTGCGCCGGCTGGGTCAACCGGTAGTTCGGCAAGGGTTTCCGACCCAGGAAGATGTTCAGCATGAGGGAAATGCCCTCGAAGCACAGCAAGTCATATCTGTAAATCTCTCAATATCGCGCGATCTCTCGAGTCCTCCTCAGGGAGTGCGTACCGGTTGGCGGGGATCTCGATCTTCAACTGGGGCGGCTCCTGTTTTCCATCGACAATGGGGCGATCCGAGTTCGTTGTCTATATCGTTCTTAGCGAGTGCACTGACGACCGATCGCGGTTGGGGTAAGACTGAATTACATCTTCGTCCAGTTCGATACCTAGATCACAGGAGACTGTCAGCGCAAACCCCGCGGTAACCCATCGTCGGGGAAAAGAACGTACCGAATTCGAAGCACAACTCGTCAAATTCCTCAGTGGTATAGCTGTCGCCCGTTCGGATTAGCCCGAGATCATACACAGAAAAGAATCCAAACATCTGGGCACATACTCGCGCCCGAGCTCCTTGAAGAGCTCGGCCTTATCGACCGAAATGGTGGGCATGGTGGGGAGTGTGGGATAGGTGACTCGAGTAGATACTCAGGACGAGACAGAAGAAAATCAACAAGTCTATGACTGACCCAGTCTCACCAAGACTTTCAGATATAAAGAGCCAGGAGTGGGGAGGGTAAGTTGTTTCAACAATGGTGAAAGTCGAGTCAACGGGGGAGTCATACACCAACTACTCTCTACTTCCTGCGATCAGTTTTCTTTGGGGCTTGACCCTCTTGACCTGCGCCACACATCACCCCTCCTTCGACCGCCTTACGTAGGGCACCAGCCACAGGGAAACCTCAGTCCAAAACTTGCCCAGTTTACTCCTCGGATAGACAGGAGGGAGAGATTCATCCTTCTCGCTGCTCTCTACAACTACATTGGAAAGATAAAAGAAACCCCATCATTCCTCCAATCTACCACCATACCCGAGGATTTTTTATCTCCTGCGGTTATAATTATTCAGATCTTGACAAATTACCTTATCTCACATTCTTTGAGGTTCGTTTGATCCATCGAGCCCCCTCCCCCCTCAATCCAATTGACCCAGAGAGGTCCGCCGCTAGTTGTTGCGTTGCTGGTGTCCTTGCGGCGGCGGCCCAAACCCCACGAAACCTCGCTCCGGGGACTCTCGCAGAGCATCCATATCCCATCCATCCTCTTCCCTATCCCCTTATCGACCTGTGCCACCAACACCTTTTGCGACCGCTAATCTGACTCCGATCTCGACTAGGTGCTGCCGCGTGTCATTGTCCCGTCTACGACAGCTCCTCGTTTCTCGATTCCTCGCCCATTCCCCCCCCCCTCTCCCGAAGAATATTATCCCATCGTGTGTTCGCGTGAGGTCGGGCGTGAACTGTTAGTAGTAGCCTGACCGAGGATTGGGACTCGTCATATCCTCGCCGCTCGCTGCTTGTAACTGATCGAGTTTGATACAAAAAAGTCCTTCGTCATGGAGGGTCAAGGTGATAACGATGAGCTCTACCCCATCGCCGTTCTTATTGATGAGTTGAAGGTAATCATCCCACCCTGATAACGACCCCGTGAAATGTCGGTGATTCTGACGGCGTTGTTGCCTCTCAGCATGACGATGTCCTTCTCCGTCTCAATGCCATCCACCGTCTTTCTACCATTGCATTGGCCTTAGGGCCTGAGAGGACCCGCGATGAACTGGTCCCTTTCCTTGACGGTTAGTCCTGTTGGAGCGAACCCCCACGCATTGGAGGAGATGACCCTACGATTGTCACGCATCGTTCCTGATACCTGGGATTTTAGACTCTGTCGAGGATGAAGATGAAGTTCTGACCGCTTTAAGCGAGGAACTGGGCAACTTCATAGAATATGTCGGTGGTCCCGAGCATGGGCATGTGCTGTTGTCGCCTTTGGAGAATCTGGCCGCCATTGAGGAACCCCTGGTTCGGGAGAAGGTGAGAACTTACATCTGACGACATGGACGGGATGGACCGGTAATAACGAGAACGAATAGGCTGTCGAGTCCCTCAATAAAATCGGCGAGGAGTTATCCGCCAAGCAAATCGAAGAGTACTTCGTTCCGATGGTCCTCCGCCTGTCCAAAGCCGACTGGTTCACCTCGAAGGTTTCCGCCACCGGTCTCTATTGCGCCCCATACAAGAAGGCTCCCCAGCCGCTGCAGCAAAGCCTCAGGCAGTACTTTGGGGGTTTGGTGCACGATGAGACCCCCATGGTGAGAAGACAGGCGGCAAACAACCTCGCCAAGTTCGTTGCGGAAATGGATGCGCCCGTGGTGATCGAGGAGATGATACCCCTGTTCCAGTATCTGGCGAACGACGATCAGGACAGCGTGCGGTTGCTTACCGTCGATATTCTTATTGCGATTGCCGAGCAGATTCCCAAGGAACAGCAGCCCAGTCACGGTATTCTGTTGACGTCCTTGCGCCACCTGTTCGAGGATAAGAGCTGGCGAGTCCGATACATGGTCGCGGATAGATACGAAAAGGTGCCCTTTGCATTGTATCCTGTTCTGCATGTCTGTTACTAACGCCACTGTAGATTGCTAAGGCCGTCCACGAAGAAGTGGTGACTCGAGACATGGTGCCGGCGTTTGTGAAGCTGTTGAAGGATACGGAAGCGGAAGTCCGCACGGCGATTGCTGGCCAGATTCCCGGTATGTATCTCACCGCTTCCTATCAATGTAACCAGCGACTCATTTCCCGACAGGCTTCTGTAACTTGATCGACCGGGATACCCTGCTTAATGAGATCATGACGAGCGTGGAGGATCTGGTGTCCGATCCGTCCCAGCACGTGCGTGCGGCACTGGGTACTCAGATCAGTGGGCTTGCCCCGATCCTTGGGAAGGAAGAGTCAGTGCAACCGGCTTTGCTGAGGTGAACAGATGGAGTGGCTGACTCTGGCTTATAGGACTATCGCCCATCTTCTTCCAATGTTCCTGCAGATGCTGAAGGATGAGTTCCCCGACGTGCGCCTGCATATCATCTCCAAGCTGGAGTTAGTGAACAATGGTAAACGAGGACCCTATCTTCTACGGTACTTCCACTGTCACTTGATTGATTTCTAATCTCGTTCTAGTCATCGGCATCGATCTGCTGTCGCAGTCCCTGCTGCCGGCCATCGTGCAGCTGGCGGAAGACAAGCAGTGGCGGGTTCGCCTTGCCATTATCGAATACATTCCTCTCCTTGCCAGCCAACTCGGCGTCAAGTTCTTTGACGAGCAACTTAGTGACCTCTGCATGGGTTGGCTGGGTGACACCGTCTTCTCGATCCGGGAGGCTGCTACTCAGAACCTGCGGAAGCTCACGGAGGTGTTCGGAGTGGACTGGGCCAAGGAATCGATCATTCCCAAGGTCATGGCGATGGGACAGCATCCTAATTACCTCTACAGGATGACCACCTGCTTTGCTATCTCCGTACGTGCATTCTATAACGTACCCCACGACTCCCGACCGTTGGACTGACTCCTCTAGACCCTTGCCCCCGTTGTCACCCTGGATATCATTGAGAACTCGATCCTTCCCATCTTAGAACGACTTGCGGCCGATGAGATCCCTAACATCCGATTCAACGTCGCCAAGTCCTACGCCGTTATCGTTGACACGGTGCGTCGTCTGCCGACAGAGGGAACCATCTCGGAGCAGGATAGACTCGTCAAGTCTCCGACACCGTCGCCTCGAGGCCAGGAGCTCATCCAGAAAAGAGTTATTCCCAGCCTGGAGAAACTGCAAGAGGACGAAGATGTTGATGTGCGATACTTTGCTACGACTGCCGCAGGCGGCCACGATGAAGTCATGGAGACTTCGCCGTAGGCTCTCCTCCCTATACCAAGTGCACCAACTCCAACATGGGTTACCGTCTCAGTGTGATTAAGGAATGAATAATATGGATACTGAAGCCGCTTTGGGAGGATTATCTACTTGTGTCCTCTTAGAAAGAGTTCGAGAGTCTGACTGAGACGAATTGCTTCATGGCGCTCTGTTTTCTTCCGACTAAATGTAGAGGTCATGGTGACCAAGTCCGCAAAAAAAACAAAAACAAACCTTTTAAGACCCTGGCTCTGCAAGTTCGAAGATAGAGGGGGGCTTGGGTATGATGTCTTACGAGTCATAAATAAATATTTTACAGAAATAAACCAGTCGTTTTGAATCGCGATGTAGGAATTGACCACTGCCTGATCAAGCCTTACTAAATCGACCGCGGCTAGTGGCCGACGCGGAGGCGACGATTTTCATCAACCCACTTGTAAACGACCATCTACACCCAAGGTAGTTACCATAAAGGATAAGGATACGTTGGTATATTCAATACCTTTACTATCAGTTTCTTGGTTTTTTATTCATGTCTCTATTAATCCTTTCGAAAACCTCGTCTATTCCCATTTTACAATTCAAACCTGCTCTGTGAAGTCAACAAGACCAGATGTCAATCCCGTGGCATTTCGTGTCCGTCTCCACGGAAGAAAAGCAACTTCGACGAGAGCTCTTAGACCTCCGCGGATATTATGCTCAGATCTCCGTGGTGCTAGCCATTGTGTCTATCCGACTATACAATCTCCGACGCAAGCCTACCGTTCTTCGATCATGGTGGGATGCGCCGCCCTTGCCGGGTTGGAGGGAGACTCGTAGGCAACATGTTGTTTGTCTTGTCTGGCTTGCATGGCTGGTTGGGCTTTCTGCGTGGAATACTGGTGATGGTATGATTTCTTGCCTTTCCCTCTTCAATACATACCCCCGACATAGTATACTAACATGATATGAACAGACTATCTACACCTCACCAAAGCCCTAGGCCACATCGCTCTCTCCCAGCTCCCAGTACAGGCACTTATGTCACCAGCCCTCTATCTAGAGGCCTCAAAAGCGGCGTCGCCGTCCCTAATGGCCGTCTTGACAGGCCTGCCGCAGCCCTCAATCACACCCATTCACCGCCTCTTCGGCCGCATCGTAATCGCGCCGCTACTAATCTCCCACGCAACCCTCTACCTGAACTTCTTCTCGCAATCGGCTCACCCCGAGTTCGGCACCCTACTCGCAAAGCGCCTGCTGGACGAGGACGTCCAGTGGGGCATTGCCGCGTTGACTACGCTGGTTGCTGTTTTGGTTTTTGTGAGGCCCGTGGGGCGGACGACGCGCTGGTGGTTGAGGTTTTCGCCGGGTTGGTCGGTGCAGACTAGACGGGAGGTGTTTTACACGGTGCATGTGCTGTTTGTTGGGATGTTTTGTGGCGCGGCTTATTGGCATGTTGAGTGGGCGAGGGGGTTTGTGTTGCAAACGTTGGGGTGCGCTGTTGTTAATTATGTTTGTTGTTCGGTGTTGGCGAGGTAGATATATCCCTATATTCCCCGTGGTTGTTATCTGTTGCTAGACTTGTTGGATGGTGGCTTGTGGATTTGCTTGGATTAGTACATTGTGTGGTGGATTGGTAGGATCTCTTGACTCGAGTATGTACAGCGTGTGTTTTGTTTCAGTCGCTCAAGATTCGCAGGGGGGTACTACTGTTTCCCTAAGGCATTGATTCTTACTCTTCTAGGTACTCCTTTGGGAAATGCTAACACTAGCTGAATAGAATCGATCGAGATATAATATTAGAACAGAAATAGGGAGGGGATCGTACAGATCTCTGGTGAGTGACGTTTTCGGCCATGATCCACGGCTAAACATAGTATACTTTGTTCCAGAGCGCAACAGCAAGGTTTCTGTAATATATCAACCATATTCAAATGAGACCAAAACCCTTGAACTGCGACTAATGAAGTTCTTCCTCATAACTGGAAAATAGATGTATCTCTTGGCGGTGTCTCAAGTCTCGACCGGGCGATTTGCAGCTAACGCAGCTGGAGTCGGTTTAGTCTTACTCGATCCGTCCTGTTGCCCTGGATTCCTCAGGACGACGAATCGGGAAGGTGGCCAGGTAAACAATGCCTTTAGACCCTGCACTCTTGCCCCATAGACTTCCTTTTACCTCCTACTCCTTGAATATCGTGTTTGGCATGGTCTAGAATCAAACGACTGACACTAATTATTCTCGGTTGACCCCATGAAGTTACACAGATAGCTCATCTCGCTGCCAACCATTATTTCGGGTTGATGCGCCCGCGGCTCATACAGATACCTAGTCTCCCCTCGATGGCAGCATGCGGTCCCAACGTCTTCCGGCCCTGTTAGTGCTTGCCACTTTTATCGTCCTCTCCGTATATTTCCTAAACGGCTCTCCACCGGTGGAAGATGCCATAGTCTCATCGCACCTTCCTCCCCCTCATGTCGATGCGACCCCGCCGCAAGAAGTCACGGAAGAAACCAACGATCGCAAAAGCGCTCAGAAGCACCACCCAGACCCCAACCATCCAATATCGAGCCTGGTTCACAATGCGGCGCAAACGTTTGATCAGACGCGATCGCGCCAGTCGAAATCGCTCGCTGAGGCCGTCAATGAATACCGTCGTCGCTACCACATGCACCCGCCGCCGCACTTTGATAAGTGGTTTAAGCTGGCTCGCTCGAGGGGCGTGCAGATGATTGATGAGTACGATACGATCTACCACTCGCTGTTGCCGTTTTGGGGTCTCAAACCGGCGGTGATCCGTGACCGCGTTCGGGAAGCGCTGGGTTATGAGAATGCCGTGCTGGGAGTGCTTATTAGAGACGGCAAGGTTACTTTGGTTGAAGGGGGTGGCGATGGGAAACAATGGCAGCGGGATGCGACGGTGGAGATGATGAAGGATTTTGTTCAGTATTTGCCGGACATGGATCTGGTGTTCAACAGTCATGATGAGCCTCGCGTCATTATCCCTAGCGAAGATCTGCGGAGGCTGGTTGATGTGGCCAAGGACCGTGCCATTCCTAGTGGTTTTAACAACCAGTCGCCTACGAATGCGTGGTCGGAGAGGCCTGCGGATGTGAACAAGGGTGACCGCATTGATGAAGTGCGAAAGAGTCGTTTCAATCGATACGCACATCAGCCTACTTGGACGGACTCCCGAGCCTCTTGTCCGGCGGATAGTCCGTCTCGCTCCCTGGATGAGAATGAGCCAGACAATGTTGATGCCTATGCGCATGGTGAATTGGGATTCGTCTTCAATACCACTGCATTCTCCGATATCTGCAACACTCCTTCTCTTCGCGATCGATACGGTTTCTTCGAGAGAGCCAATGCCTTCGATGTCGTCCACGATCTGTTCCCCGTGTTCTCGCAGAGCAAACTCTCGAGTTTCCAGGACATTCTCTATCCTAGTCCGTGGTACTGGGTGGATAAGGTGCCGTACGAAGCAGAAAAGGATTATAGTTGGGACGAAAAGATGGACAAGATGTATTGGAGAGGATCGACGACCGGCGGGTATTCGCGAGGAGGCGGGTGGAGGCGCCAGCACCGGCAGAGATTTGTCGGCACGATCAACGCCCTGAACAATACCAAGGTCTTGTCGAAGAGCGAGAATGGCTTGTGGGAGACAAAAGAGGCGCGCCGGGAGTCGTATCGGGACCTGTTCGATGTGTGGATCACGTACGTCGGGCAGTGTGACGAGGATGACTGCGCCGCCCAGAGAGAGTATTTCCAGATCGGCGAGCAGACCGGCCAGCAGGATGCCTGGGCCTACCGGCACCTAGTAGATATTGACGGAAACGCTTTCAGCGGTCGATTCTACGCATTCCTTCACAGCAACAGCTTGGTACACAAGGTTGCCATCTTCCGCGAATGGCACGATGAATGGATCAGGCCTTGGGTGCACTATATCCCGCTGAGCCTGACGGGGGATGAATACGTGGAGACCATGCGATATCTAGCATCGGAGGAAGAAGGCAAAGCTCTCTCCGCTAGTTTGGCGCAACAGGGCCAGACCTGGGCGCAGAAAGCACTGCGCAAGGAAGATATGGAAGTGTGGCTGTTCCGGTTGTTATTGGAGTAAGTTCATCCCTGCATAGTTCCTGACTGGTCTGAATCACCGTCTGACATGATCCCCACAGGTATGGACGCCTCGTGGATGATAACCGAGAAAACCTGGGGTTCTTTCTTTGAGTTACACTGAGTCTGAACCTGTCAGTTTGAGCCGGTCGGCATATGGCTCCTATTCGTTCCTACAACTGTGCGATGTATGAATATCTACTGGTGGATTGTGTGCATTTACGGGATGCGTGGCGTTTGGGGTTGGGATTTCTGCTTCATGGGATTTGCATATTCATTCAACGCTAAGGTAGACTACAGCTGGCGAAGTCGGCTAAGTGGCCTTGAAATATTGCTTTGGTAGTCTTTGTTGACATTTGTCTGGTATCTTCATTTTGTCGAGTACCATAAACATTGGTAACAATATAGTCAGTCAGTCAGGCTATCAGCTGGCCGGCCCTCTGATAATCGATCCGCATGCGGATGTCAATACCTACCTCAAGGACGTTCTCAGTTTACAAATAAATATCTAAACAAAACCAAACTATGGATCCTCAACGCATCCAATCATCAATAATGAACCCAACTACTACCGTACCTCTGTCTATCTCTGGATATCTATCGTCACATGTCGCCGCTGAGATCATCATCCACCAATACCAACCGCCATCCGAGGACCCGAACAAGATCGCCCATACTCATTGGCTCTGATCCTAACAGCCAGCCTTTCCATGTTCTAACCGTCTGCCTCGCAATGAAGCTAAACCGGATGCTACTAGGTTGTGGGGGCCTTGACTTCGGGTTCTAAACGTCTGTTGTTGGTAGCTTGTGGTCATGTGGCGGGGAGCTAGCTAGCTCTGTCTGTCTTCTTCGAGTCCACTTATCTAACTACCTACCTTGACTTTATGTACGCCTATTGTCGTTCATTGATTGTTACATTTCTTGTGTAAATTTCAACATTGATCTTGATCTCGATCTCGTCGCCTCACGTCAAGCTCAGCAAACAACCTACCCACCGACCTAATTAAAAGATCGGGTGGAGTCGGTGTCATCCATCCCCACTATTGATACAATAACCACTTTATCATAACTGCCACGGCAGTATTAATATCAATTGCTCGGCTGTCGGAAATTTCTGTTACTTTACATTCCTGTATTTCTCTAGCGACGTTGTTTAATTCAGCAGCGACAGGCTCGCTCAGGCGCAGTTGGCATAACACACCATGGCTAAGTTAATATCGCGCGCGCTGGTGTGGGCGGCGGTGTTTGCGTATGGGGTTTTCACGATGATTCTTTATGGGGCTCAGGCGCTCGTTGCGGGGTATTTCTTCAGGAGGACGAGTGAGAAGGAGAGGTTAGAGTTGCAGCTTGGTGAGTTTTCCTTTTTATCTTATCTTATTTTACTCTCATATGAGATATTGCGTCTTCAGGTTGGAGTATGCTACAATTTATTCATTGGCTGAGCTAACATACAATTTGATCGCAGCTCGAAATACGTTCTGGGATCTATCGAAGAAATGGTCGGGCCTTTCCCATCAAATACTCACTCTGCGAAACGGGTTCAAATTCCACTACGTCTGTAACGACCTTCCCGGATCAGACGGTAACACGAAACCGCTGGTCATATTCATCCACGGATACCCTGATAGCTGGGCGATATGGCGCTACGTGATCAGCTCGGCGTCGCTCCAGCAGACGGCTTCGATCGTTGCTGTCGATCTGCCTGGTTTTGGAGGTAGTGAGGGACTGGGCAAATACTCGGCGACGAGCGTGCTGGAGAATCTGACGGAGTTTATCATTACGATGAGGATGTGCTATGGGGTGGAGAATGATGCCGGGGTTCGGCAGAAGCCTACTGTTATTGTTGCGCATGATTGGGGTTGTGTTATTTCTATGCGCCTTGCGGCTGAGGCGCCGGAGCTTGCTGATCGGTTTATTTTGAGTAATGGCCCTTTGGTAAGTATATCTTATCGAGAAAGAGCTTCGCTCATGTTCTAACGGGTCAACTAGATCGGTCACGTCTTCTCTAATGTCCGCCGTCGCGTGTCCTCGGCCGTGAAGATAACTAAAACGGCGCTGCGGTCTCCCGTCCGCAATTTCTGGGTGTTCGGCAAGGCTTTGGGAACCCTCAAGCCCGTCTTCCTGCAACTACTCCGCTCAGGATACATCTTCGCCTTTCAGCTGCCTATGCCCCTGGTCCAGTACCTTGGAGAAGGCGGCAACCAGTCATTTCTCAAGCTCTGCCACAAGGTCTCCCACGGGAACTCCAAGTTCACATCCCAACACGCCGCAGAATGCATGGCGAGCACTATGGGACCGTCAATCGAAGAATGCAAGACCCAGACAGACACCGGCGACAGCTATGCAGAGTCCGTCAAAGACCGCGCTCTCTCTAATTTCACTCACATGACCAGCTACTACCGCGATGGCTGCGCCATCGCCCGCTGGGACAAGTCCGTGGAGACCATCGCCGCACTACACGCTATCTCCCAAGGCGAACAGTCCCCGCGGGGCAACAGCGGCGCTGGACTGTTCAACGAGGGTCCGCCTGGGGCTCTTCGCGCGCGTGCGACTCTCGTGTGGGGGAAGAAGGACTTTGCGTTGAATGAGCATATTTGTCTCGATGGGATCTCGGATTATCTTGGGACTGATAGCCAGGTTGTCGAGCTTAGCCACTCAGGCCATTTTACGCCCTTGGAGCAGGAGAGTCAGGTCGCGTTGGAAAAAGTCGCGGAGTGGGCTGCTAAGGGCGAGCGGGAGGATATCGCCACTGTTCTTCAGGACTGTTATCCGGATGCTGTTGTTAAGGTGCGAAAGTGAGCTTGTTGACGCGGGGACTGTGCGTCTGAGCTAGCAGGGGTGAGGCGACCAGTTCGGTTATGTCCTCGACGACTTTTTCTGCTGCTGTCTGCTGTCAATTGTTTGGGTTTTGGCTGGACTTGTAAACTTGGCTGCTTCTGCTGGCTTCGGGAATCGTGAATAACCGCTGGTTGTGTTTGACTTGGATGCGTCTGCTTGAGCGGGAGTTTCTTTCGGTTTCCGGGCAGACAGGGTGTCTGCCCTTGTCGTGTTTTATCTGAGAGGTTGTTATTTGGCGAAGTATATGTGTATAATGATTTATTAGCATGAACAATGAGCAATGTCGTGACAAGGTGTGGATACTCAGAGACATTTGGAATGCCAAGCGACAATCGTTTCTTCTCCTTTGTCCATTCATGGTAAGACCGTCTAGAAGCTCCGAAAAGATTGATGGATGTCTCAGCTAGGATCATTTAAAATAGGAGCTTGGGCAATTAATCCGTGTGGTCCGGGATGGCGGCCTCGTGCAGCAACAGCGTCTTGTCTTGTCTCCGCTCGGCGCTTCTCTCTTTTCAACTCTCCTTCCTCTCTCCCTTTTTTCCTGATCTCGCGTTCTCCGGGTACTCTTTGAGGTACTTAATATCCAATATTCCGGACGCGTGATATCTTTTTGTCAAGGTATTTGCTGTTTTTTTATCTTTCTCGAAGCTCCTTACTTCAGATAGCGCCTTGTTTGCGAATCGAGGTGCCCTTCTTTTCTCTCAAGAGCTTGGAATTCGTATGAGGATGTACAATTAATACCTCTATCGGCGCGATGCAGAGCATACGGATTATACACACTTCGATCAATTGTCCTTACCGTTGCCACTGATTCGGAGCGCGTTGTTGTTATTGCGCCGTGCTGACGCGGGCGGGGTTAACGTCACTGCTCAAGAGGGGAGAGCCGGAGCTTCTTGTTCCATTGCTGCGCGTGCCAATTCCCCACACTTGATCCCTCTCTCTTCTACTTCCCTCTACATCTACTGTGGTTTCACACTCTATATCTATTCGCACCCAATTGCCCCAATTCCTTAAGGGATCGGCGTGGTGACAGTGTCCGCTCGTCGCAATGGGGTCCGACGGGAGTGCAGTTTACTGCACTGTAAGTGTTCCTCCCTCGCTGTCTGGACCCTCAATGGCATCGCAGAAGAGTGCTGATTGTTTTTCAGCTTCTTTTGAGTGACAATTATCTCCCTGGTAATTAATTGGTAGTTTTCTGGCTGCTGCCAAATCCTGTACACTCTAATGCGTTGCATCTTGCTCCAGGTGCCATGGTTCTCGCTCATTCGCTGCGCGACAATAAATCGAAAGGGAGGCTAGTCGCTCTGTACACACCGGATACTCTACAGCCGACTACGATTAACGAGCTCCAGGTGGGTGTTATTCTAAACGCGGAGCGGTCCATCTCCATGGGTATGCACTAACCTGACCCCGCGGAAGACTATATACGATGAAATCATACCCGTCCACCCAATGACGAACAACACTCCCGTGAACCTCTGGCTCATGGACCGCCCGGATCTAATCTCCACATTTACCAAGATAGAGCTGTGGCGTCAAACGCAATTCAAGCGTATTGTATACATCGATTGCGATGTTGTGGCCGTCCGAGCCCCCGACGAGCTCCTGGAGATGGACGCCGATTTCGCGGCCGCGCCGGACGTCGGGTGGCCCGATTGTTTCAACAGCGGCGTGATGGTGCTGCGACCCAACCTGCAGGACTATTTTGCTCTGCGGGCACTGGCCGAGAGAGGGATTAGCTTTGATGGGGCCGATCAGGGCTTGTTGAATATGCATTTCCGGGATTGGCATCGGCTCGGTTTCACGTATAACTGCACACCCAGCGCGAACTACCAGTATATTCCGGCCTACCGGCATTTTCAGAGTACCATCAGTATGGTCCATTTTATTGGGGCGCAGAAGCCTTGGAATATGCCGAGGCAGCTGCTTCCACTTGAAACGCCGTATAATCAGTTGCTTGGGAGGTGGTGGGCCATATATGATAGACATTATCGTCCTGTGGTTAATGTGAGTTTTGGATTGGTTCTCGATGTGTCGGATTTTGTGGGGCTAATGGTGACTGTAGATACCGTTTTCACAGACGGATAGTACAGATGAAGCTCCCCGGGGTGATGATATTGCAGGCTCCCACGCTGTTGTGGAGCCAGCCGCACAATGGCTACCGACTATTCAGGTCAATCCAGCAGAAAGCACTAATGAGCCACCACACGAACCAGAGGTTCATTTTCAACCGGAAGATTCCAAAATCGAGCACGGAGAGCACCGTACCTCTCAAGACCAGGTCCCATTCAGTACAGATGGGACAATATCCCAGAAAGAACCGTCACCCCCTGCCGTAGTAGCAGTCCACCAAGAGGAACACGCAACCCCCGCGGCAGGACAGGATATAACCACTCCAGCACCGATTCGAAGTGCTGTTCCACAATATGTTCGCGGAGAAGAGCATATTTCAGCATACATACAGCCACACGCGGAGACAACCTTCGTCGTTGCGCAACCAGATCCTATATCTGGAAGGCGGGAAATTAATGTACCACTTCCGCCGTTGGAGATACCGGGCACTTCGCAGCCCCCGTTCTATCAACAGCCAGCAGAAGCCGTACCTGAAACTGCGAAACCGCCGGTATCACTTTCGCCAGGACCCGCAACACCAACTTTTGAGCCTCCCAAAGCAGAATGGGATGCCTCCAGGTTCGTTGCGCAACGTTGCAGATGAGAAGTCACAAATGCTTACACTGCATAGGGAGCCTCCACCGTTGAACACGAAGCCCGAGGGAATTGCCTTGAAGCAAAAGACGTATGAAATGTCAGAGGACCATCAGCTTTTCCAACCTCCCTCAACCTACCCAGAGGCCCCGAAAGGCATGTACTACGAGGTTCCGCGAGAGAAACCGGAGCCCCAGAAAATCTCTCAAGTATTTCCATGGGAAACCCATGCACCTACACCGACGCGTGTGTTCCCGGGAGAAGAGCAGACCACCCCCACTACGCAAGAAAGGAAACCATCCGCTTCGTCTATAGAGACCCCGACTGAAGTATCCGGGCTATCCACACGCTCCTGGACGTCTTGGACAACCGAGGAGCCCCCCGTCTCCTGGGACAGCTATACCCGGTCCAACGCCTGGGACGAAGACCCAGACATCCAAAAATACATCCACACCATCCAACAAGCCCGCAAAGCCAGAGTCCAAGTCATATCAGGCACCCAGTCTACCACCGGCGGCCAACCCGTCGCGACGCAAACAACACCCCTTCCCGGGCCAGAAACCTCACCCCCCAGCAACCGGATAACCGATTTCCCCAGCGCAACAGAACGGCCCAGCCTCCCCGTCACCCCAGCACCCATCCAAAGAGCAGCAGGCGGCGGTGCTCCCCAGGAAAGCGACCAGTGGCACCACCGGTTACCATCCCCACCGGAGGTTCCAAACCAGGAGGAATGGGTGGGTGTCACGGTTGGAGCGTTTTTGCACCTGCTGCGAGTGACGTGCTTATACAAAAACTTTATAGAATCCGTTGGTCCGCCTCGAAGAGCTGCAGCGGCGTCAGTCGGTGATTTTGGAGCGGCCAGGATCGCTCCAAGAACGAATTGAGAGGGCGGGGGTGGTTGGGGGGAGGAGGCGCTTCGATCCTTAGTTTTTGATAAATCTCCCGTTTTCCCTCCTTTTGGGATTTTGAGGAGGGAGGGACTGGATCTGGACTGGACCTGGAATGATTGTGTGTGGTTTGTTTGCTCGGTCGAGTTGATATGTTCTACTTCTTTCTTTGCCGGCTATATTTGCTCTTTGAGACTAGTCTTTCCTTTCTTGTTATTTGTTGTCTATATGAGCGCCATCTGTATATTATGTACCTGCTGTTTGTTGGCTGCTTCCTTTTTGTCTTTTCTTCTTTAATGCACTAGGGAAATACACGATATACGATACTAGATTTGTCTGATATGAGAGAACGTTATTTCAACTTCCTTACTTGTAGGAGTCTAAATGACATCATATACCGTGTCTGGATGATAATGATCTCTATCGTTGATAAACTGTAATAATAATGACAATTGTTATCAAGCGACGTCTTGTCACCAACCAAACCCACCCCATTCATTCTATACAATGCTAACCTATCATACATACCAAGACATAACAATGCATCAAACCCGAAAGAAATATACGAATAAAAAAAAGCAAACGCTAAGCGAAGCAGACTCAGAGTAAGAATGAATCATTATCGTATCGGCCGAGGGGAGAAATGCCCCTAGAAAAGGGCTGTAATCAATCATGCTGGAGATTCACCCGTTCGAGCATGTTGAATGGCGGGCTGACGCTCTCCGCGGACGGAGTAGAAATTGCTTTGCTTGATGTGGCTCGCTTTGCCCGTTGATTCGTTGAAGATGGAGAAGCCGTTGGTTGATGCGTTGGGTGGGGTGTATACTGTTGTAGTTGGTTAGGGAGTTGAATTGGGTTGAGTTGGGTTCGATGGTTTGGGTTGGCTTTGGGTGGCAGGGGAAGGTGGTGTATATGCTTACGGTGGAGGGAAATGGCGAAGTTGTTAGGATCGGGGTTGGAGATTTTGTGCAGGCCGAGCTATCAATGGGTTGTGAGTTTTATTCTTCTCTTCTCCTCCTCCTTCTTCTTTAAGAAGGCTGGTTTATACATACCTTATCAGACATATAGGTAACCTGGTTCTCACCGTAAGTGGTCTCCTTGGTGACCTTGGGAGGGGACCTTTGACCCTGTTGAAGCTTGTTTCTGTCCGGCCAGGCATACAATGTCTCTTGGAGAGAGCCTTGAAGAACCTGTGAATAGAGCTCGAATTAGAAAGGTCCTTTTCGCATTCATCCATCAAGTGTGGAGAAAATCACCTTCATGACACAATGCGCACCGGCGTGGTCATGGATGGCGCTCCCTTTACCGGGACTCCAGACTAGGATTAGCTAGATTGACGGTTGGACAGTTAGTAATTATATAACACTTGCTTTTTATAAGCGCATCGCACTGTGCAGCATGCAGACGCAGTCGACTTCAAGCGTAACCGCAGAAGTTGGGATGCGCTATGTAGGTAGTACATAAGTGCTAGGGGAAGAACGCACCAGGTTACTTTTACCGTTCCCCTCGTCGATGAGATTCCGCGTGTAGTTCTTGCTGGGATCTCCCAAGGCGAACGGAAGCCACTCTTCGGATTTGGACTTGTAACGCTCCATTAGGAGCTGGATGTCTACCGGATTGACGTCGTTGGAATCTAGTCCGGAGCTTGGGCCTAGAGCGGCACTAAGATCCCGGACGAGTTTCTCGAAAGCATTGCTCGTGGAGATCTCTGAGTTGAAACCTGAGAGATAGGGCATGCTGTTGGTGGATGCTTTGTCCAGCGAAGTAGAGAATCAATGGCAATACAGTAAGTAGTTCAGGGTCGAATCTATACAGAGACTGGAGGGTCTTGATTGACGCGCCAATGATTGGACGCGGGGTTGGAATAGGGAATAATAATGGTATGCAAGGCAGTGGGGCATATAGCAAGGTCTCTAGCTACTTGTAGGCCAGGAAGTGTAAGTAGAAAGATACGTCATATAGCAATGGCCCAAGAAGTTCGAGTAGTTGTAGGTGATGCGGAAAGGGCATGGTTGGATGTGCGTCGTCTTTAAAGCCGTGGCTTTTCCGCCTTTGCGGTAGCTGCCTGAGGAGTCGAGACGAGACACCGGTCACGGTTACTACGCCAGTTAAAGGAATATATCATCTCATTCTCGACTAGGTTGTCTTCAGGTAAACACATTTCAAATAACCTAGACTTTAAGGCTAATGCTCGAGTCCTATACTACGGTAAATATCTCGACACTGATGTCATTGGAGTCACGTGAACCGAACCGAACGTGCCTCTTATCGATAGTCACCACGTGACACAGAGTTGCCACCTGCCTAAGGCAGGAAAACCCCACCATGTGATCTCGCTCTCCGCCCGACAAACGGGCGAATGAAGTGGCGGCCACAATTTCCATCAAAGATTGATCGCTCGACTAACTTTCAACACTTTATACCCAGCCAGCACCAACAGATTGTCCCTGACTTCACAACAGCGCAGCTGGAAGATAGGGATTGATTACCGTGATTGAACATTTATTTTATTTGCACATATTGACCTTATACGAGGGGTAAAACTCGTTGCGCCGCCAAGATGTCGACCACCGTGGATAAGGTGCGCCTCAATATCTACCCCATCCTTTTCAAAAACTTCAATGAGTAGTTATGGCTAACATGGACGGTGTCAATATAGATCAAGCAAGTCGAGGACGAGGTTCGCTCAATACGTCGCTACGCTATCGCAGAACTGGGATACTGACTGGATGATCAGATGGCTCGGACTCAGAAAAACAAGAACACGTCTTATCACTTGGGTATGGGCTGCTTTGGACGGGCTGGTCAATGGGTTTTTTGTGCTAATACAATGCTTAGGACAATTGAAGGCGAAGCTTGCGAAACTGAAGCGAGAGCTTCTGACGCCCTCCGGAGGCGGCGGTGGCGGTGGAGGTATGTGCCTGTACAATCTGAATGACATGGGTGGTCGGCTAATATACGGGTTTAGTTGGATTCGATGTCGCTCGTACTGGTGTTGCTAGTGTGTATGTCCGACAGACTGCCTCGTTGGCAAAGATCTCAAAGCGTTGTGGTACTGACTCGATGCAGTGGTTTCATCGGTTTTCCGTCAGTCGGCAAAAGTACTCTGATGAGTAAATTGACAGGCCAACATTCGGAAGGTTGGTGATGGTTTATCTCTTTGGCGAGTAATAGGTTACTGACTGGGAACAGCTGCGGCGTACGAATTCACAACCCTGACCACGGTGCCTGGTCAGGTCATGTATAACGGCGCAAAGATTCAGATTCTGGATCTTCCGGGTATTATCCAGGGTGCCAAGGATGGCAAGGGTCGTGGTCGTCAAGTCATTGCGGTGGCCAAGACATGCCATCTGATCTTCATCGTTCTCGATGTGAACAAACCCCTTGTCGACAAGCGAGTCATCGAGCGAGAATTGGAAGGGTTCGGGATCAGAATCAACAAGCAGCCTCCCAATATCACCTTCAAGAAGAAGGACAAGGGCGGCATTGCGATTACGAGCACTGTTCCCTTATCACACGTTAGCCATGAGGTGAGTGTTCATCACCGTGCTTCTGTATACAATTGACTGACTAGTATTGTTTGCCTCATACAGGAAGTCAAAGCTGTCATGAGCGAATACAAGATCTCTTCCGCCGATATCGCCATCCGGTGCGATGCGACGGTTGACGACATTATCGACGTGCTTGAGGCCAAGAGCCGAGCGTACATCCCCGTCGTCTACGCCCTGAACAAGATCGATTCCATCACCATCGAAGAGCTGGATCTCCTTTACCGTATACCTAACGCCTGCCCTATCAGCTCCGAACACGGCTGGAACATCGATGAGTTACTGGAGCAGATGTGGGAGAAGCTCAACCTCCGACGGATTTACACCAAGCCTAAGGGCAGGGCGCCCGACTACACGGCGCCTGTCGTTCTCAAGGCCGGCGCAAGCACAGTCGAGGATTTCGTAAGGACCCTATCCCATGGATTACACTCCATTATGGCGCATATCGGCTAACTTGCAACCAGTGCGTTTCTATCCACAAATCGATCAAGGAGCAGTTCAAGCAGGCGATCGTTTACGGGCGTTCGGTCAAGCACCAACCGCAGCGCGTCGGTCTCACGCACGAGCTTGCCGATGAAGACATTGGTACGGACCCGAACATCCATCCCCCCCTGAGCGATCATCGCGGATCTTGGAGCTAACGGTGAAATCAACTACAGTGACGATTATCAAGCGGTAAAGCACCAACCGAACTCTCGATGCTACGAGCCCGTGCCAGAGCGGAGAAAAGCAGTGGCGAATCGAGTCGCGCTCGAGACCACGAAACGGGGCGTGTGTGTGTAAAGGGGGTTCTACTTCGCTAAGTTGTCCATGTCCATGTCCCAAGAGGCCTGGGCCTACGGATTTTCGCGAGATGTCACAGGAGGGAATATGATTGGAGGAGCGCGGTGCCTCGCACGGGCAGCAACGCTGCCAACTACCGCTCGATCGCTCTCAACTAGAAGAGAGTAGACGACTGGAAACCAAGCGCTAGTATGCCGTGCAGTTTTGCCGTGCTTTTTGCAGTCTTCTCTCTCCCCAGGGGTTGGTTGGGTTTTTCAGAGACAGGTTTTTGGGTTTCGGTTTCGGGGGAACGGGCTACGTTGAGAAAGGCTGACACGGATTGAGTCCACACGAGGGTCTTTTTGTCATTCTGTCCATCGATCGCTCGCGTCCGGCCGAACTCCTTGGTTTTGTTTCTTTTTTGGCTTTTTTTCCCGCACCGTTTCATTTCGATGCGCGTGGTCTCCTTCCGGATACATCGACCAAAGTAAATAAATCAATAAATGAATAAACTAAAATATACAACATATAAAATCTATCATGTTCTAGATTTGTCTAAACCAAATGAAAGAGATGTCAATGTCGAGCAAACAAGGTAGATAGAGAGCAAGTACAGTACGGAGCATTCGCAAGGTAGTATACCTACCTAGTAAAACAATAGTGTCTAGTACCCAGCACCTAACCATAGTAGCACCACGAATCCCGTAGCGTTTCCTGTCATCACACTACCTACAAATCTATCATCCCATCTACAAAGTACCTAGCAGTAGTAGGAACCAGGTATAGCATAAACAAGACTAACCCAACCCAATCAGCAACGCAAAGCAAAGCAAAGCAAAACCAGCCGGAACCCATCCGTCAAGCCCACAGATCGCCTCAGCAGGGCGATCCGTTCACGCATGTATGAAATAAAATGGTACGCGCAACGCACGTACATGAGGGATTGATGGACGGTGGATGCTCTAGTCTAGACTAAACTAAGGGGTAAGTAGAGTAGTAGTAGTAGTAGTTAGTAGGATTGGGCGGGAAGAGGGGAGGGGAGGGGAAGGGAGCGGAGGAGGGTCTCCGCGCTAGATAGTGACGATCATGATATCTTTTTGGCCCCCCGTTTGGATGTTAAGTACTTAGTTATTAGTACCTTACTTGGGGAGTTGGGTACCTAGGTGCTTATTTGCTTATCCCTGGATACAGTCTAGAGTGGTTGTTTGGGGTGTAGTGATTGTGATAGTGGAGGATGAGGAGAAGATGGAGGAGAGATAGCTGAGTAGGGCAAGGTCTGGGGTAGTATACAGATAGAGATAGATCTCCGATAGTGAAATAGAATGTCTGGTTGGTTCGTCCATCAAAATAGTAGGTAGATGGGGAACAACTGCGAGATCCATACAGTGCATGATATGCTTGCTTGAGCTTGTAGAATTCAAACAATGATCTACTTCATTGTGGTTTATAGTGTATCTGATGTACGGACGCCTACCTGCATACTTGGATCAAAACCAATCAATTATACTGGGGGACTCGGTGATTGGACTTTGTGTGGGAGTTGCTTTATTTAGGTGTGTGTTTATCTTGGCTGATTGGTTTTCGTATTCGTTATAGTTACAGGTGTTATTTTTATCATTTGTTTTACTTGACTTTTTGGAAGTTTGCTTATATTGTGATAGCTAGGTAGCTATCTAGTTGAGTACCTTTGTTTGGCGTTGGATCTTGACCTACAGATGTACTACATACTACGTACTATTATTGCTCGGTTTATACAGGAATGCATAACATGCACATAATCTAATGAATACACGCTATTGCTTGACTTGTTGTAGCTAGTAGCTAGTATCTACGGTCAGATAGCTATGGTTATACTCCGCTTAGTACGAATATAGTCAGCCGCAACGGTCAAAGTGTCGACCCATTGATATTAACATCAACAGGATAATTGCAGACAGGTGGGTCAGGAGAGAGGGGAAAGGAGAGGGGTTCGGGGAACACCAGTATCTACTATGTGCAGAGTATCCGGACTAAGGCCGATGATGATCCCCATCGGTCCTCATCGGCCTTTGAGGAAGGAGTAGCAGGTATACGACGGCACCATTGAGACCATACCTTTTAAATATGCCCTAACTATCTCCGGTAGGTCTGTTACTGATTGATTAGTAGTGCTATTATTAACCGTGTATCTGTGCTCACTCACTGCTTACGATATCTTGTCTGGGGCTAGAACTAGTAAGCCCACGGTCCACGGTTCTGCTAGATGTTACTAGGTCTGGTTAGCATGCGGGACTCCGTACTAAAAGAATAGGTTCGTGCTCATCTCTCTTTCTCTCTCCACTGTTCATGATGACGATGGGCAAGGACGCGGCACGGGGATTCTGGATTCTGGATTCTAGACCAGGGGATTGTTGTTTATTTGTCCTCTTTTTTTATTTTTTTTCTTTTTTGTCCCTTTTTCCGAATTTTTCTCATTCTTTCATTTCGAATTCTAGTTTGTTTGCCTTCCAATAATGGAAATACCTCGAGAAGAGGTGCCACGGACTGAGCCAATTGGACAGGGAGTGGCTGATCGGTGGGAGGAGTGATGGTTTCTATTTGTTTTGTTTTAGGATATTCTATCCTATCATGCGTGTTAAGTCATCTTTTGGAAATAAGTGATTTGGTCTATCTGTCTTTTTTGCCGGGCATGATACCAATAGACAGTAAGCCTCCTCCAGTATCTCCTTAGAGGCAGGGAATAACTACACTCGTCCTTCTGGATATGACGAAATGCAGGATTTTCCCACCCGACCCGCCAATCAAGAAATAGACTGGGGTGAGAAAGTGGCAGAGTAGTCATGCACGTTGAGGAGCTTTTTTTTTTTTTTCATTCTTTCGTCCTTCCTTTCTTCCTGTCTGCATGTGCATGAAGGAGGGAGAGAGGGAGGAGGAGGAGGGGGAGGGGCTTCACTAGTCCCCTACTACCCCAACTAGTCAGTGCCTAGGCTGACAGGAGTAAGAATAAGAAGCGGTCTGCGCGGGATGGGGCTGTCAGTTGCATGGCCTACATGAATCGTCATTGGCACTTTTCCTGTCTATCTCTCGGTCTGGTCTGGCGAAGCTGAATGGTGCAACGATCTGGGAAGGAAGGAGCTTCAGAAACCCCACCGAGCTAGACTATTAAGGGAATAAATAGACCTTGACTGACTCCTCGGATGGTTCATGCTGATGCCATTGAGCCTTTGAACGTCCAGTGGACGGATAACGGACGGGAAGATGAATGACAGAATCCACTCTCGGGTAGGAAGGACCATACGAAAAAGTAGACGACTAATGAGAAATTACCGTTGATGCGCGAGTCAGCCCGAGTCTCCATTCAAGAAAAGATGAACAGATCCGGTGTCAATCTCCTTTCGGGTGATCCCACCCTGCACAGCCCCTGATGGACCCTCAAATCTGTAAATTAATTGACTAGTTGTTACTAGTTTCATGGGGAGCTTCCGCTGAAGAAGTCCTTGGCCGTTGGGTACTCATTGGAGTAGCAACTAACAGCTTTGTCGAAGCCTTGGAGATGCGATGCATGTTCGAATTCTCTGTTCATCAGATGACGACCTCGTTTTTGTGGGGATGCTGCATCTCTGTCTGTCTTTTTTGTCGGTGACGAGAATCGCGATAGCCCGTCGACGTAACTGGTCGTTTCTTTTTGTCTTTTCTTCCCTCTTTCAGTTGCTATTTGTTTCTTTTGTCTTTCTTTTTCTAGCATTATTTACCAATGATGAATTTATTCAGATTGATGCGGGATCTCGCGGGATACTCCAGCTCCAGTGCCAGCCACGCAGCCCGTGGCGGGCCCAAGAACAAAGAAACGTTGGAGGGGCTGGTGGTCACTAACGCAGCTAAACTCCAGACCAGCTGCTGCCGATACATCGATCCCCCAAGGAGGAAAGCAGAGTGGTGAGATCCTTACGATGCGCATGGTCTGGTACAACACCATCGTTCATCTTCCCTCATGGGGATCGAACTAGCCAATGCTTGCCCCACTCAGATCTTGTATTCTGACTCCTTCGTTCTTCCATCGTAGTCCTACTAGTTATAGTAAGTGGGTGGGCCGTTCTTTTCGTCGCGGGAATGTCCGATTATTCGATCAGCTGATATGACATCAGAAGATGATAAAATAATAATATAATATAATATTATGGTAAAAGAAAAAAAAAAAAAAAATTATTATACGGAGTACATCGGTGATATTGACATGAATCCATCAGGATTGGGTATCGGCCGTGTCCATAATTTATTCTCCTGATCTCCTGACAGGCAAAAGGCAAGGTATATTGCAAGGAGGACCGGCAGGTTGGGATGCCGACATGAAATAGATTAAAAACCACACACCTGCACTGCCATGCGTACCTGACAGGTGTCTAATCAACGAGGGAAAAGCAAGGCTGGGAGGTGTGGATGGAGATGGGGATGAAAATGAGACGGTGTTTTTGATGTCGCACCACCCCGGACATTTCTTTCTCCCAATCTTTCCTTTTCTTCCCGGATATTTCAATGTAATCAATCCCATTCGCGCATAAGGTTACAGATCAGAAATTTATCGACAGAATCATCCGGAGGTGATGGTACAAGACTGATCATAAATCGATAATAAGATTCTGTCTCACAAATGATAATAATAAAGATAATAATTATAAAATAGTAACAATGGCGTGCAGCAAGTCGGATTTCTGATCCATCTAGATTTTGGACTTTCCCAGAGAGGGAGGGATTGACTCCAGTTGGCGACTCGCCTGTGATCCCGTCAGCGACCAGAGACGGTAACAGGCAAATCGATTGGATTTTCTATATTATCCTATATTATTTATTTTTCAATCACTAATCTATCTATTTATCTATCAATTTTATCTGTTGACTTATTTCAAGTATTCTTCTTTTTCTCTTTCTTTATATTTTGATAATCCCACCCCTGATGATCCGACCCAGGCTTGACTCTGTGCAACTACAATCTTATGCTGAAATTGGCCTTATTGTTTCCTCCATTGTTCTGTGATAGGTATCATCTTTAGGTCTCACAATCTAATATTATTAGGGTTTCTTCGAGAAGAATAATTTCAATTAAATAATAATATTATAACTTTCCGAACTTCTTATGCATCAGCCCTAATGAAGGAGATCAGCGGATGTGTAGTATTTACAATCACTTTGACCTTGACTTCCATACATTATACTGCGTAATAAGTAGTACTCAAAAGTCGAGTCAGATAGCAGACACTCCTCGTGGCCGGTCGAACAAGCGGGGCTGGATTGGATGCATTGCCTTTCTCTTTTCCGCCTGCCCCGTCCCGCCTCAGTCGGTCAAAGCTACCTACGTACTTCAATACCTTGAGTGTCTAGATCTTCAGTACACATCTGGACTTTCTTACAGCAGCCCCCATTATTGCTATTCGTACCCGGTACTGATCCAGATAGGTCGCACTCGGGCATGGCGTCTCAAAGCACAGCATACAGCATGATGCATACGAGAATTACTTCTTTCTCCAGTGCCTGACCATCAGCCAGCCATATCTCCCTACTTCATGCAGTGCAGTACAGTGCCCTGGGTGGCGGCATCTCATGGTAGCCCACATTGTTAGTTAGTATTTCGTGATCGACCGACCCCCAGGACGATACTACCACTCAAAGCACGCCTCTCCCAATATACACCTATCAAGCAGCTTTGCCCTGCAGGTTTAGGCGCGCATCCTCAAAATGCGGTGGCATTGGGGCGGTCGAGTCAGTGGTCGGTGTGTGTGTGGTCCCTGTCATACCTAATCCTGATCTCGTTTCTTTTTATTTGATTCGTGTTTCTAAGTCTTACTTCTGGCTACTGCTACCTGATTGACTGCCAGGGTTCAAGGTTTGCGATCCAAAGGGGCGGAGCTAATGTGTACCGGTAATCTTTTATATGATTTAAATTTGTTTGGGGATGGATTCTTTGTCGGAAACTATATACCCGATCTTTATGTACACGCAGGCTTTAGTCCCTTTCTGATTGATTGGTTTTTTTCACGTCATGCTGCATTACAAATTCAGATGAATCCGTTCCACCGTCTTTATACATCGGTGCTAAGATCGCTGATTTGCTGAGTAGTTCGCTTGGCTTTGATTCTCGATCCTGTAGGTACTTGACTACGTATTCTTTTTTAGTAGTACCACTCTCCCCTGTTCTCTTCCTCGCTCAATCTTCGATCAATTGTCGCCCTTTCTCTCTTCTTCATGAGTTTTCCCCTTTTGATTAGTGTAGTTATTGTAATTTGTCTCCACCTCTTCTCCATTCTCCGTTCTTACTGGATTTGCATTACTTAGGTTGCCGGCCCGGAGTGGACCGCAGCGGGCCCAGGTGGACCATGGGTCCTAGCTCCTCAACCTCATGCCATTAACTAACCTAACCTAACCATCGACCATTCATTTAACCCAGTTGGGACACTATACTCGGTGCAGTAAACAGACTCCCCCAGTCTTTCTAAGACCGTGAACCCCATGCCTGCTCTCGTCTTTAATAGGGCAAGCTCCCAATCCTTCAACCCTGGTCCAGCCCATGTAACGCAGAAACCTAATAAATTGAAATTAATCTATCCCCTCCCGTCATCCCATTCGCTTATGCCGTGTTTTGACATTTGGATTTTTTTATTCTTATTTTTTTTGCTTCGCCGTGACAAAGTACTGTGCAGATCAGGGCTGCCACTGATGGGATGGCATTCTGGAATATGATTAGTAGCTGGTCTTGAGCATTGGTTTGTATTTGCTCCAATTGGAGGGAGGAAGGGAGAGTAGTAGGAGTAGGTCCTAGCTTCAATCGGCCTCCGTTGACTTGGGAGATCAATCAATTGATGAGACTTCACTACCAGGTATTATCCAGATTCCGATTCGAATGATGGGTAGCATCTACCGTTGCATCATCTCTCCCTCTTCATTCTGATAGGCAATTGATTCTTGAATGGTTCGTTGTCCTATTCGCCTTGTCTGTGCTGTCCCACCCCCAGCAACAACACATGTACCTCGACCCTCAAAGCAAGCGAGGAAAGAAAAAATAAGTAAGAATAAGAAAAACCGTTGAGACCATCCCTTGTGATAGCTAGCTAGTCAATAATCACCGGCCCTCCAAACATAAGCATATGGTCCGAAAATCATCGCCTTCAAACCTCACCTTCGCTTTAGGTTAGGCGGTCTATCGATCTGTTCCCCGTCCGTTGAATGGATTGTGGCTTACTTGAGGGAGAGACAGAAACAGAAAAAAGAACTGTCTTACGCCGTGTTCATGATTTGCGTCCGAGGATGATCGCCTCGACTGTTGAGGTTGGCTGTCGTATCGTATCGCTTGGGGAGGATGGGGCAGGCGAAGGATTTCCTGTCATGAGGAAATAGGTGTTTTGGTGAGAAATGATTATTAGGGGAAAGAAAAAGAAAAGAAAAAAAGACAAATACAAATACAAACTTTGGAAAAAGCAAAAGTAAAGACTAACCTTCTTTTTGTCTCTGATTTTTTTTATACAATATCTTTTATGTCTTGGTCGTGAAGTGTATATAGTATGGAACTGGACTATCTGCAGACCGCGGCATAGACAGCTTGAGTACCTCCACCAGTCGCCTCAGGTACTTACCAAAAGAAGTAGTTGACTGAGGACTACAGTACTACATGATTATGACAAGAACGAGTTCGATACCATACCCTGACACAACAGCATACGAAGCCATACACGTACACCCCGTTCTAGCGGTATTTGAACCGGCCGGAGATCCCTGTTCGCCAATCTAACGCCCTGACCAATCAGCGGCCCAAACCCCCGCCAATTTTCGATGGGGAAAATCATTTTCATCCTTTTTACTTCGAGCCCGCTGCCCAATCGCGGGGCTGAATCTGGTCCTTTTTCCCTCACTGTCACTGGGTCCTACTACTTCCAAGCCATCCATGCACCTGCCAGGGCTTGGACTCGTGCTCTTGTCTCTCCTCTATCTACCACTTTGACAGTCGAATTCCTGACTGCTCTATTTCGGTCTTGTCAGTGGAGTGTCAAATCAGGTACGACTTCATGTGCCTTTTTTTTCGATTCAATCTATCTATATGATTCGATTATTAATTATTTTATACTAGATTGTTACCCAGTCTAGATGATCCATCTGTCCGTATACCGGAGTTACCGTGGACATGTGGGTAGTATCTATGCTACTGGTTGATGAGGAGCACTGCCGATATTATTATGTCTATCGGGCATATCAAATATAAAAGCCTCTGAAAGACTAAACAGATTAAATGATCATAAATAAAATAATCGACTGGTAGTATTGATCCTCCCATCAATCATCTCTTCCATCCTAGCTTTTCCCCCTCTCATTCCCCCTCCTTCTCCCTCCATCATCGTTCTTCTCTACTACTCGCTAACATCTTCCCTGATCGTCACTGTGCCTTGCACGCTCGCCTGGCCTTTTCTGACTTCCCTGCTCCCTTTTTTTTTTTTTTCTTTTTTCCGTTTCTTGCTTTCTTTTTTTATTTTTATTTTTGAATTCTATTTTTTTAATCCTTTGTGTATTTTATATTTAAGAAAATAAAACTCAATAAAACAATAATTATTATAATAATAAATCAACATTTCATGCCTTACCCGCACTCTGCTGTGACTGTTACGGCGACTCTCACTTCCCATTCTCACTGACTTTCTCCCTGTACAAAACGGCAAGGGCCTGCAGGATTTTTAGACTTGTATGCATACGGGTCCTTAACTTACTTCATTACTTACCACTTATTACCACCGACGGACTGACTTCTTTTGACTCTCGTCTTCCTCGATCCTATCTCCTCATTCTTCTCTCGCCTCCAGCTTCCGCTCCTCCCTCTGGATAGCTCGGATTTAGATTTACAGGTGTGGAAAGACTGTCACCCTCACGGGATTCTATCTCTCATCGTCGCATTGCATTGCATTCTTTACTTCTGTCTGTTTGGGGTGTTTGGTTTGCTTGCTATACTCGCTTCAACTGCTTCATAATCGCATATCGACTCTACTCTATTCGGCACCACCTCCAATGTCGAATATGCATCGTCGTTTTTCCTCCTGTCTTTAGATTGTTTATGCCCATCTCAACACCATTTGCTTGCTTTTTTCCTCCATAGACCTTGGAGATCGTTTCCCGGCCTGAAACGCAGACCTGGTTGGAATCCATACCGGTGCTGCACTGTTGCACTGCACCCAGAGACTGACCGACCTGCCTGGTTCACACCTGCATTTTTCGACTGCCGGACTCTTCCCCCCGTCTCTTCCCCTGTCTTTGAATCCTCTCTTCGAGATGGACACGGAGAGCTCTCATTCCCAGGATAATGACTTTGCACAATCACCCTGGGTTGACATGGGAGGGTTTCACCCGGCTCAGCAGTCACCACCACTCGACGACTACCATGGATTCCCGTACGGGGTGATTCCCTTGGACTCGGCCTACGGGGTGACAATACCGCCCCCTTATGCTTCTCTCCCTTTGACGTTGCCATCGAATACGTGGCCGAGTATGCTCACCAACCATCAATCCCACTTCCCGGAGGGGGGTTTGCCGCCAGTTCCCATTCCGCCTTCGTCGGTCTCCCCCGTTACCCCAATCCCGCCCCCGCGCAAGTCCTCCACGAGCAGCTCCACTCCGCGGAGAACGCTCACGGATGAGGACCGTCGGCGAATGTGTCTCTATCATGAGGAGAACAAAACTGCTAAACAGACAGACATTGGAGGTAAGACCCGTCAACTGCCGTGTCACCTCTCTCCTCTGTTAGACCAGCGTGCTAACGGATTACAGCATTATTCGGGGTGGAAAGAAGGTACAGTTCATGCATCTCCACTAGGTCAGATTAGCCATGTCTAACCGATATCCTTGACAGTACCGTTTCAAAGGTCCTGCGCCAGAAGGAAAAGTATCTTAACCCTGATGATGGAAGCCGTTCCCCTATCAAACGGACCAAAGGGAGAGTGCCGGATATTGAAAAAGCCCTCTCCAACTGGGTGCGCAATTATCAGCGCCAAGGTTACCCCTTGAGCGATGAGATGATCCGGGAAAAGGCCATCTTCTTCGCAAATACGTGCGGGAGCCCTGATGGAAAGGAGAAAGTGCTGAGCACCGCCTGGTTGGAGAAATTCAAACACAGGAATGGCCTGTTGGGCGCAAAGTCCCGCAAGGGCTCCTTTGCTAGGAGTGACTCCGGGAGTCCCACTCGTCTGAGCATCAACTCGGCTTTGGCGTCTGCGGTGCAATCGCCCAGCGTGCTTTCTCCCACATCCCCCACGGGCTTTGCCACGCCGTCACCCTTGTCGCCAACCCACAGCCAGTTCAATATCAAAACCGACGAGACGCACGACTTTGGGCCCGAATTGCACCAGGCCCTATCCAGAAGCCCCCCCGCGCTTGATACCACATCTACCTTCTCCGCTGCGGTCGCGAGCCCTACGTCCACATTGGTGTCGGATAGTCCATTTACTCCCATGAGTCAGTCTCGTAATTCGTCGACAGACAGTCATTCTAACCGACCAAGGAGCCAGACACTTCCAATCAACTCGATTGACCCGAGTTTGATGTCGGCGGGCGACTCAGCGGAGCAGGTGTCCCCCAAGACAACGCTGGAGTCGCCTCTCTCTGCCAACGAGGCTTTTCCAGAACAGGTCCACAATCCCCGTTTCACCCCGACTCTAGATACCTCCGCGAACACCATCAAGCGCAATCGAAGCAACCCCGAAATCAAGACCAAGACCATCTACCCGCCTCTGTTCTCCAAATCGACGACGGTCTCACCCATCAGCTCCCCTACATCCCCGACCCAGGACGAAGCCCGGAAGGCGCTCGAGCTGGTGATGAGCTACTTTGAGCAGCAGCCCACCGGTCTAGGCGCCCAGGAATATGTGACCATTGGCAAACTGATGGAGAGGCTAGAGCTTGCCAAGGCGCAACATTTTACGCTTCCTGGAGGGTTGACTCGTATCGATGAACATGAAGACGGGCCTCGCCTCCACAAGAAGCGAAGCATTCACTCTCTCGGCTGACCGACGTCAAGTTTGAGATACCTTTCGGCTTGTTTTCTCGGTTACATTGTTTCAATCTACTAACCATTCATTCTATTATCATTCATGCACCATTTTCCCTCTTCATATTCTTGTGTTTTCTTTTCCTTCTCTCTTCTTTCTTTCGTTTTTTCTTTCCGTCTATTTTACGTCTCGGTGGCCTTTTGTTTTACTAGCATTGTACGTCATGTTGGATGAATTTCTGTGCTAAACGCCCGGCAATTGCTGGGCCGTGGAGGATCAAAAGAAAAGACCCGATAATACATATACAATAGGGAAGAGGGCGACCTCTGATACACGGTTCATATACGACACAGGCGCTGGTCCTATTTACAGGATGATGGCATGGATCACAACCAAGGTTGATTTCGGAGTCTTGATTTTTTCCACGTTATTTGATTTTCTCTTAGTTTTTTGGTTGTCATCATATTTTTCGTGTTGGTGAAACAGGGCAGGGCCAAGGCATTGGTCCAAGTAATTCAACATGAGCATGGATATCTATCAGGTTTCTTTTCCGCATTCTCATACCTTATTTGTTTTTTTTTTTTTTTCTTTTTTTCTTCTCACCGCATTTCTGTGTCATAATCAATCGGTTTTTATTATCATTATCATTATTGTTTTTCCTTCCTTTCGAATCCACCCTTCGTGGGAACGAGATTGAATGTATCCCAGGCTAACCCATGCTTGTACTGCTTACCCGTAACCTGGACCTGCATGCATGCATTTATCTTATTTGTTCGGACGGGGTCGATTTGCTGTCCTTTTTTTTTCCTGTGCGCCCTTTCTCACCCCTGCGTCTTATTTTCAACCCCGCTGCGTGCCTGCGTGTGTGTATGTATGCGTGTCCAGTTTGCCCCTTATTTGGTAGGTTTTCTTTTCTTTAGGGGAAACTTCCGTCTTACATTACTTGGTGCGACATTGTTGTGAGTCACTTCAACTAGTATATTCGTATGCACCCTACATTTAGATCATAGTATATAGGTAGTAAGTCATAGATAAGTCCAATAATAGCAAACCCGATAGAAAGGGTAAAGAATCAAAGAACAAAGAAAGAGAGTAAGACTCTGTCCAAGACTTAATTAATGCTATTATACACCCGTAGACTGTAGTACAAGCCGCAGCAGTCCCCGAAGTAAGAAGCAAACTTATTACTTACTACCTGCCCTGCCTACTTATTGAATAAATCTAATCAGAGATAGAATAAGTATTTCCAAGACTTGGGAAACACGACTGTCAGCGTACTACCACCCACACCTACATTACACCTGTAGGACCAATGTGTACATCCTACTGCATACATCGTACATATACCAGATGGGATAAGTAGGTACGTACTACATAGGAAGGTAGTAGGTGGGTACGGCGTAGCTCTCGGGAAATTACCCATCCATCTAGGTATCTACCAAGCTAGGTACCGGCCTACGTAGGTTACCAAACCAAATACTGACCCCCATTGGTGTAAAATGGTTCCGTGCCGGTCAAGTGATGGGGGGTTTATGTGCGTTGGGTGGGATGGACTCGCTGCTTTTCCCACCTTGGTAGGTAGGTACCTACCTGCTTGCATATGTAGGTATGTGTGGAGGTGTCTGATTTCGGTAGCACGAGTTTGATACTTTTGGAATACGCGTGGGTTTCTAGTGTCTGGCTTTAAGGTGTCTATCTATCTGTCTGTCTACTTATCTATTTCACTGTATATGAATATGGACGGGTAAGTAAGTAACTAAGTAGATTATCACTAAACACATATACACTTACACTTTACCACCTCCAGAGTATGCATGTATATACGTAGTATTATTTACGTATGCACCACCCCTCATCATACCACAGACACAGCAGGCAGGGAGGACATAGACCGTAGACCGTACATCACAGAAAGGATGAAGTATGCCTTAACTATGCCTGATGGACCCGTCTTGGGCTGACTCGTCACTTTGGTTTATGTCTATACTCCTTTGTTTCCCCTATTTCAGTGCTTGAGGGGTAGATATGCAGGTCTTAGGTAGGTACGGAGTACTCTGTAGTACATCAGTATATCCCTCCTATACGCCGTACGAAGACGTACTGGGCAGTTGTATGGTATGCCCATATAATGCGATTGTTACCTTTGTATCCGTTGATAAGGGTACACAAAAGGTAGGGAGGTAGAAAGGTATCTATCACTGCTCATCATTCCTGTAATATCTACTAGTTCTCTCCACTGTTAACAAAGATTGACTCGTCGATTTGGTTGTCTCGCTAGGTCCAGCTAGGAATATAACTAGCTTGTCTATTTTTTGCCACTCACTTATTTACTACCTACTGCCCTAATTGGGTCTCATGGTATACTAACTAGCTATCTAGATTTACTTATTTAGTACGGTTGGGTATAAGTAGGGTACGATTCATGATCGTCATTATCTATGTATAATTGTATATGCCCAGTAGTAATACCGCAGTGGTTCACAACCCGCTTGTAAAAGACAGTCGAGTACGGTGATGTTAAATCCTACTCGTGGCGGTCAGGGGTACACCCCTGTGCTCCATTAATTCGGTGACACTGTATTCCGATAGCTCGGGTAGAAGCCTGGCCAGCACGGTCTCGATGATCGCGTACACGAGGTGCCGGTTACAGTAGTCGTCGGCAAAGAGATCCAGAATGTCGGTCTCGATCGCTGTCAGCAGACGCGCCTCCTCGTCGTCCTGCGAGGTCGGTGTCAGATCTGGCGGTGATGGCGGGGACGAAGCCCGCTCTGGAGGTGGCGGTTGTTGTGCTTCCTTGGAGGCGGCCCAAGACTCTTGGCGTTCCCCAGGGGCCGCTCCAGGCGAGCCAGGCGGAGGAGGCGAGGTTGACAGGCCCAAAAACTGTCGCGCGACTGGCCGAGGTACGAGCGAGAGGATGCGGGCCGCGCACGATCGCTTGATGGAAGCGATTTCGGCCACGGACAGGCGACTGTCGGTGGGCGGCGATACGGAGGACGAGGGCGCAGGCGCTGACGCGGTAGCAACGCTACTGCTGGCGGTACTTGCGCCAGTGGAATCGCTACGAGGGGCGCTGGCGCCCCATTCGATAGGAGACGTCGGTGGTTGCACGGACACAGACACAGACACGGGCAGAGACGGCGGGTGTGGTGCCGGCTGCGGCCCAACACTTACGCCCTTAGCGGTCGCGGCCGCAGCGGTCGGATGCGTATTCGAGGGAAACAGGGCTGCCCGCGATGCGAGGAGCAGATTGGGCAATAAAGTGGGGGTCAAAATATAGTCTCGAATGGTCTCGTGAAGGAACCTAGTGGAGTCAAAAATTAAAAAGTTAGTAAAAAGGCGACCATCTAGCAGGGGTGAACCTGGCGCTTTTCCGCAAAGGGGAATCCAGCGAAAATGATCATTAGCGGTCAGATTGCGCGACGAAGGACGGAGAAACCCCCGATGGGCTTCAGTCATTGGTGGGCATGAGTAGGAATCCACCCCAGCAGACAATTTGTCAAAAGCATAAAAAATATGAAAAAAATAAAAATAAAAATAAAAATCAAAAAGAACGAGGATGGGTCAAAAAGGCCTCATCTCTTGAGTGGAGACCCAATGGCACAGGATCTGCTCGGTGTTAAGGAGCTTGGGCCATCGATTGGTGCGATTGCTAAGGCCCCAATATTGGAGATGACGACAGACCAACCCTCTTGTCTATCGTTTGGGCGAATGAGAAAAATCATCTGTTGGAGGGGCCAAACTGAGGATTTCTTTTCCCCCAGTTGCTGCAGCCTCGTCGTAACCCCAGAGTGAAAAAAAGCCACCATGATCTCGGTCCAAGCGTGAACTTGCCATGCTTGGTGGGCATTTGCCGCGGGTTGGACTGAAGGTAACCATGAATCAGGAGACCCAAGGGGTAAAGGCGAATGGGCTTCTCATGGCGGCTCTACCCATGTTAAGCCCGGTCGCCGATAGGACTGTAAAACGTCCTTCAGGTAGAGTCTGGATGATCGTCGCAGAATCATTTCACGTTAAACCGGCCAAGCCCAAGACGCAGCCACTGGTCGTTGCAGGGGTCTGGACGAAGTTCCCTCAAGCCTTGTTTTTATTTTTTTCTTCTTCCCTTCTTTCCTTTCTGGTTTTGGAGGTGGGGCCTTTCTTTCCTCTTTCTTTGTTTCCTTTTCTGGCTCGGCCAAGTCAAATCCGGCTGATGCGCAAAAAAAAAGAAAAAGAAAAGTAAGAAGACTGGAATCGCACGGGACGGAAAGGGCCGGGCCAGCCCATTCTGGCTAAAACATCTATGAGGTAATCTGATCGTGGAGTGAAGAGGTAGATGTGATAGATTGACCGCGGATCAGGGCACGTTCAGGCTCGAGCTCGGAATGGCCGATGTTGGCTGCAGCCGACAGAGAGACGGTCGGTCGATCTGGCTATCAATTCTTGTGCTCTTGCTCGCTCGCTCGCAACGTCCCTAGCAAAACCGTCCCAAAAAGGGAAGAGGCAGGGGAGGGAAATAGGAGTGAGGAGAGAGATGATCCTGGTGACCAGGATTATCCGGAGCCAGGAAGAAACCATAATCAAAAGTAATCAATGCTCCGTCGGTCAGAACGATACCAACACGGTAATATAACCGTACGCGCCGGTCACAGACCGTAACGGACCATACGGTCGTGCATAGGCGAATCAGGGGAGAGGAGGACGATGCGCTGTGCATCCACCCTCAGATCAAGTGATCGATGCAGCATGCGAGCAATGCACATCCGCGACATCGATGTCCCGCCGGATATGCAGCCATCTTCCACGGGCTTCCTCCGCATGCTCGGCAATGATAATAACAGAAATAATAATAAGAAAGAAAAAAAAAAGAAAAGCAAAGAAAAAAAAAGCGCCCTTGCCAATACCAGCGTAGATCATGGTTCGGAGATCGAACTTCTACCCTAGAGTTGCTCCGTCCGGTTTGACAAACCGCCATGCGCAATCTGAATGGTGCTAGGGGAAGAGGGGAAAATGGGTGGGTGGGAACTCAAATAAAGATGCGACTCACCTATCAAGGACGCTATCCGTGTCACCGATTCTGCCTGGACCCGCCACAATCAGGTATTGGAAAAGCGCCAACATCCCGCTCAACCAGGGCATCCGCCGAGGTATATCCACCAGCTGCGAGAACATGCTCAATGCTCGGTAGTAGAGAACGGGGCGCTTGCCCTCGGGGTTATTGTACGGGGTGGGGGTCTTGTTGGTTTGACTGGTTGAAGCGGTAGAAGTCGATGGTGAGGTCACCGGACCCGTAAATGCAACGCGGAACAGACCTACGACGATGAAACGCAGGGTCACAAAGGCCAAGTAACCCAACTGAAGTAAATTCCAAATCCAGTCGGGGATCCTCAACTGGGTCTTGGGCGGCGAACGGGCCCTCACGAATTCTTCCCTGGGCGAAAGGAGGCCGAACTTCTGTAACTGGCCCTTCCCCGTAGTTGCAGTATCATCCTCACGGTTGTCACGTTGTCTCACCACATCGATGATCTTCGTGACACTGCCCCAAAGGAACCAGCCTTTGGTCATTCTCCCGCTCACTTCATTGCCCAGAATCAGGTCCGCCAGAATGTCGCCAACCAGTGTGCGCAGGCACGCATTCTCCAAATCCTCCGTTGGAAGGAGAACAGCCAGCACCCCCTGCGCCAGTAATTGCCGATATACCGCTTCATTTTCGCATTGCCGCGTAATTGTCTCCGCATCGGAGGGGTCCGGGATTGGCGAAAGGCTAGGATGTGGATTCAAAGTGTGGTAGATTTGGCGGACAGATGGCGAAAACCCCGACATTCTCGACTGCGCTCTTGCTAATCTGTATGCTTTTGATTGATTGAGACCCAGTCAGTGACGGGAACGGTTATTTCGGCCATGTCCGAGGAGCACAGAGTTCATTATCTCACATGTAATATGGGTCTCTATCAAGTCAGGTATCTCGTCCAGAATCAACTGCGCGACATCTATCTCTCGCAGCCTCTGCTCCAGCGCGCGAGTACAGTGAGCCATCACCTGGATGACCTCCGCAGCAAACGCCTGATCGGCCGTTATTTTGGAATACCAGGAGAAGACAAACTCCTTGACAATTATGGCAACAAGGGCATATAGTTGGCAGTCCACATCATTGGAGCTTGTCAAAGGGGGCAAGAGCTCCTCGAGAGGTGGTGGAGTGGACGCTCCGCCATAGCTGGTCGACTGGGGACAGAGGACGCGACGAATGAGCGCCGCAGTCGCCTTGTCGCCCAGGGGGCTGATCTGCTCATCCCTGCTCAAGTTCCTGCGATGTTGCGGTCGCTGGGATGTCTGGGATGAGGAAGACTGCAGAGTCGAGGCCGCTGGCCGCGCAGTAGATCTAGAGCTAGACGTCGTCGGCCCAGCTTTCAGTTGCGACAACGGGCGAAGGCCCGGGCGTGGAAGATCGGTGGACATTGCATCACACGAACTATGTCTGTGTAAGAAAAGTAGAATACCATCTAAGAAAAACAACAGATCAAGAAACAGTCATCCCCGTAGGACATGCAGAAGTAGATGAGGTATGGTGAACGCGGATGACATCGTGGAAGTTTCCCCGGAGAGGAAGCTACGACAGCTGTCCCCATTAGGAAGGTAGGGCTTAGGGCTGGGCACCTGATGGGCGTTATCGCCTTATCGGACTGATAGGGAATTCCCCGCATGATAACAGACCATCTCGACTTAATCATATGGTTGCATCGTGATTGAGAACAACAAACAACTTCTTCTTTCTCCCTCTTTTGTTAAAAACCTCTTCAATTTTAAACCTTAAGACCGTCAATCAATTTTCTCAAATACATCTAACATGGCTTTTGCAACGGACCGCGTTCCTCTCTGGCTGGACTGTGACCCTGGTTAGTCGACTCCCTCCTCCCGTCGAGTCATTATTAACACTATTGCCAGGCCACGATGTAAGTAGACCAAACGTGGTCCTGCTGTATACATTCAAACATGACTCATGAGGTTGGAGTAGCTAATACACAATCTACTTCGATGACGTAGGACGCCTTTGCTATTCTCATCGCTGCCCATCACCCGTCCTTGAACCTACTAGGCATCACCACGATCCACGGCAATGCGTCTCTCGCAAACACAACCGTCAACGCCACCAGAATCCTGGAAGCCATTGGTCGACCTGAAATTCCAGTCTACCCAGGCAGCAGCAAGCCGTTCTGCAGACCTGCAGTTCACGCCGCGAATATCCACGGTAAGACGCCGGCCTGCCCAGCCCAGTCCCCGTCATTGCACTCTAACCACGGCGCTTCAACAACCAGGCGACTCGGGCATTGATGGCACAGATCTCCTCCCCAAGCCATCTCGCGCCCCCATCACCGACAAGAACCCAATTCTCACCATGCGAGATGCTCTACTGGCACAGCCAAAGGGCACCCCGTGGGTCATCGCCACCGGCGCCCTAACCAACGTAGCCCTCCTCTTTGCGACATTCCCCGAAGTCGCAGAACACATCCAAGGCCTCAGCATCATGGGCGGCGGCGTAGGCGAAGGCTTCACCGACGCCCCAATCTGCCGCCTCGTCGGCGAGGAAAGCAGGATCGGAAACGTAACGCCCCTAGCCGAGTTCAACATCTACGTACGTCAAACCTCCCTCCCCCAAACCAAACCAAACACACCTAACCCAGCTCAACAGTGCGACCCCGAATCCTCCCAATCAATCCTCGGCAACCCCATCCTAGCCCCCAAAACCACCCTCATCAGCCTGGACTTAACCCACCAAGTCCTCGCCTCCCCCACCGTGCAAGCCCGCATCCTCCGCGGCGGGGACGACCCCTCCATCCCCCCGACCACCCTCCGCCAAATGCTCTTCGAGCTCCTCACCTTCTTCTCCTCGACCTACGAAACAGAGTTCGGCATCACGGCCGGACCGCCCCTGCACGACCCGCTCGCCGTCGCCGTCATCCTGTCAACGCTGAACCCGACTTTCGCGAAGCACCACCCGACTCAGGCGCTAAGGTTCGACGATCGCAACGGCGAGCGATTCGCTGTTCATGTTGTCACGGACGGTCTTCATGGTTCTGATGTTGCCCTTGTGGGTGAGTTGGGCCGCTCCCGCGTGAAGTCTGATACCGTGGGCGTGGCCATCCCTCGTGGGGTGGACCTTGAAGCGTTCTGGGGTTTGGTTCTGGAGTGTATCAAGCGTGCGGATGTTTGCAATGCCGCGCGTTTGAAGTGAGCTGTCTTTATCTTGACTAAGGTTGCTTGGATGGTCTTATAGTAGAGTATATCTAGATGTCATTTATGCTTCATGTCATTTCTAATAGTCCGTCTGAATACACTCCGCTATGCAACTAGAATCCGAACAAAAGAGATTAAAAAAAAACAAAGAGAGAAGTCCTACACCCAGTCGAAACCCACATCAGACACTCCCAGGAAAGAAATCACCACTCCCTGATCCCCCCATCAGGACCGAAGAACTCCTTCGGCTCCCAGGGTTTAGTATCCAGCGCAACCCGCCGAACAGTCTCCTCATCAACTTCAATACCCAGTCCCGGCGCAGTCAAAGCAGCGACAAACCCATCTTGGACGGCAAAGACGCCCGCATCCTTGACGTAGCTATTGATATCGTACTCACCAGCTTCAGTATTATAGTGCATGCCGAGGCTCATTTCCTGGATGACAAAGTTAGGCGTGGCGAGGTCGACCTGCATGCAGGCAGCTAGGGCAATAGGTCCGAGCGGACAGTGCGGCGCGAGAGCCACGTCGTACGTCTCGGCCATGGACGCGATGCGCCGCAGCTCGGAAATCCCACCACAGTGGCTGATGTCGGGCTGGAGGACGTCGACGCTGCCGTCTTCGAGAAAGCGCTTGACGTCCCAGCGGCTGAAGAGGCGTTCGCCCAGTGCGATGGGGGTAGACACCTGGTCTGAGAGTTGCTTGATGCCTTCCGGGTGCTCTGACAGCAGAGGTTCCTCGAGGAAGAGTGGGCGGTGCGGTTCCAGTGCCTTGGCTAGCTGCTTGGCCATGGGCTTGTGCAGTCGGCCGTGGAAGTCCAGCGCGGCGTCTAGACCTAGCGCTTTGATGGTTTTTAGTCGTTCGACGCTTGAGTCGAGCGCGCTGGGCGAGTCGAGCCAGTTGATGTCCTCCGTTGCGTTCATCTTGACGGCTTTGAACCCTTGTGCGAGCCGTGCCTTGCCGGCTACTTCGACGTCTGAGGGTCGGTCGCCGCCGATCCAGGCGTATACGGAGAGCTTGTGGCGGACTTTGCCGCCTAGGAGCTGGTGGATGGGGACGCCGAGCCGACGGCCCTTGAGATCCCAGAGGGCGATGTCGATGCCGGCGAGCGCGGACATGAAGATGGGGCCGCCGCGGTAGAAGTTGAGGCGCCAGACTGTTTGCCAGATGTGTTCGATGTCGCTGTGAGATGTCCGGTTAATTTTTGGCAGGGCTGGGTGGGGCCGAGTTGGGGGGAGGGGTGAAGACATACTCGGCTTCGTAGCCTACGAAGCGCTTGCACATTGCGTTTAGAGTCCCCTCCACGGCCTCCGTGTGGCCTTCGAGGGTACTTTCCCCCCAGCCGTAGTGGCCCTCTTCATCGACAATTTTAACAAAGAGCCAGCGGGGGAGGACGCGGAAGTATTCGATGGATTTGATTTTGGCCATGACTGCGGGGAAACTGGGGATGGGATGTGGGGAATGCCGTCCGGGAGGATTGTCGGACAATTCGATATGTAAGGAGGTTATCAATAGCGTGGCTGTTCCGGAAACAGTATCTTGAGGATATTCACGTACTGACAGATGCCCTGTGTTTCGGACGCGACAGGTCAGGACCCCTATAAGTAACGACGAACGTGGGGTTCTTTCTTCGGAGTTGCTCCGTTCAGCCAAACCGAGTTGCCGATGGCTCATCCACTGTTTTATAATGAACCTCAATGTCCATCGTCAATAGACCCCATCAACGTGAGTAGTGGAGGTAAGTATACTCGATAATTGGTCTCGATGAGTTGGATATAAGCATATTGCCACCAGCCAGGTGAGAAATCAGAGGCGGCATCTTCCTCGAAATTCCTCGGGTTATAATTTTATATGCGGGAAACTCGGAGCTCGGCCATTAAAAACGTCTGTTCAAATAGAATACTATTCTATAGAGCTAGTTCTCAAATAAAAGGGTGCATTTGTAGCGAATATTGAGAGGAGAGATCAGAAGATGGTGTAGGCAGGTGGAGGTAGCACGCGGTCTTTGCCTCAGGTTATTCAGGTTCGGCCATAGCAAAACTCCTTCTCCAGTTGCATCTCCAGGGCTGCTGATTAGCTACGTAATCGTAGAGTTATTCGATCCGACTGTAATCACCGCGTGCGCTTCTCAGCTCGGCCTGGGGAAGTTGGGACCGCGATGTCGAGATCTCCGTGACGCGGGAGCGAGTAGAGGGGGTCTTGACCGGGTCGCCGTATGAAAACTTTGCAAGTCTATAGTGACAGTCTAATAAGACAGTCTGACTCGGACTGGGATGTATCTACGAAGGTCGCCTGGTAGGTGAGGTATGGGTTCATTTCGGTAGGGAAGCGCTTATAGGTGATGATGTTGTACGTATGCGGAACGTTGGCCTGGGCTCAGAGTGCATTGGGAGCCACTGGATGCGCGGTGGACATGATGGCGAATCGTGAGGCCATTTTCAATCCATTGATTCTGGAGCTTCGCATAAGTGCGTATCTCAGGGAAACATCGGGAGGGTTTCCCAGTGTTCGAAACGTCGCTTGCACATTCTATTCTGATTCTTATGTAGTCTGGGTAGTACCTTTAGCAGCATCCAACTTTGTGAACGTCTTCCATCGGGATTGGCTCATGCTCTGAACCACCGGCTCAATTCTCCGCATCGGGTAGTTCACCTTGATTGTGACGGCGTTTAATTGCAAGTATTGATGCACCATGCGCAAGCTGCCACTGCTTTTTCGCGGGTATTCGGTCTTTGCGCTCCAGGACGACACGCAACTTTGTCAACAGAAAGGTTGTTAGAAAAGTACCAACGGTCGTAGCTTGCAAACGACCAGGGAATGATGATGGAGATATCGGCCATATCAAGCCCTACCAACATGCCGTTCGGTATTTTGGTGCAGTGGTTGAGAAATGATATGCACGGCTTCGAGATCGCCCTTTCGAGCATCCTGTGCTGCGTCTCTTCCGCCTTGTTGAATGTTATGGCTTTGGTCACCATACAACGATCTCTGACGCATTCGAGACAGCCTTTGCGGAAGTCCGAATCTCGCAGTTGCGGCTCCTCAACGCTCTCGTACACGGCTTGAGCATTCTCACGTCTCTTTGATATGGTGAGTAAACAGGGGCAGGCTTTTTTCTGTCAAAAAGCTTTTACTAAATGAGGTCAGCACATATTCACGCTCAGTTTGCATGGACTTACTCTGTTGGAGACAAGTGCGAATGACAATGCGAATATTCTGGTAGGCAGTCATTTTATCAAGTTCCGCATTGAGAACGTCGTGCTCAATAGAGCCGTCCTCCTAGGGAAGCCAATCAAGCAGTCTCTCAAAGCAGCCTTGCAGCTTTTCCGATTCATTTTCATTTGTTATTGTGGATATCAAGTCATATCGACCTTGACCAAGATGCCGTTCAGTATTTTGGAGCAGCTAATTGACATTTGTGACCTCGTATCGACTGAGTCGTCCGCGTACACGGTTTAAAATCTTTTTGATATCAGTCTGAAGAATCTAGACTTTGAAAAAATGCCCCTTGGGACGGAGAGATTCAACACGGTTGGAGATGCGGGTTGAGGAGCGGGGCGGAGGTGGAGACGATCCGCGCTTGGTTTGGGCATTGTTAGGGGAGAATAAGGTGTGATTAGTATTACTGTGGTTTTAAGAGGTGTTGGAGAGGTAGTAACATTACAGTTGAGCCTTGGAAGGGAATGAATGCATAGCTGGAGAAAGAGTGTTGTTTATAGACTTATAATTACTAACAGGACAACGATAGGGAGTAAGCGGTGATAAGTAACTGGATAGTCCTATTTGACAGTCATACTGAGATGGACTGGAATTCTCCGTCAATTGGTTCTAATCACTGAGTTACAACAAGCCCACCTGGTGAATGATCCTCAATAATGAATCTATATACACATGATTGTAGTGAGTAGTGACAAATATGTTGCCCAAACAGGCAATGCATCGTGACCTCCAAATTTCCCGAGATCCGCAACTTCATTTCTTCTTCATCTCTTCTTTCATTCATCCCACGACTTCACTCCCCCGGTCAGTCTAGATGTCTGACCTGTCTGTTCCTACAACATCCCACTGCAGATCCTCTTCCTCCTTGCTGTCTCTCCACTCTCCCAGTTCTATCACTATCAACTGTCACCACTCTCCAATGAGTTGATTGCCACCGCACCCCCCATTCTTTCTGTCGCCGAGGACCATGCCCCCTCCAGCCAACACCCCTTCGGTATGTTCTTTGACTTTCTTCTTCGGATTTGGTGCTGTCCTTTCTTTCCCTGATGTTTTTTTCCGTGTTCCCATCTATATCCCTACCAGTCTAGGGTCCGCCCCCTTGCGCCTCCTATCACCCGGGAACCCACCCGTCGCTTTATCTAGAAGTCGTCTGGAAATTAACCCTCTTTATCAATAGGATACCCCCGCTCGCGCGCGCCCCGCTGTCTCTCCCTCTGCTCAACAACCGAATGCCATCTCCATCCCCGTCCCCTCGTTACCCGCCATCATCGCAGACGACGCCCACGATGACAACGTGAGCTTCCTGCGGACTCGCGCCCCACCGGATACTGCCCCCTCCTCCTCACTCGCTCGACAACGCCGTCGTCGGCCACAGACACAGACCGTGCCCGAATTCGACCCGGAACCGATGGATTTGGATGACACGTCCAATCTACGCATGTCCGTCGAGATCAACCGTCGCATCCCCATCATCCGTCGCCAGCGCGACAGCTCCCTCACCCCGCAAGTCAACATGCCCAACTACGACGGCCGGACGGCCAACCCCCGGTCGCTCTACGGCTGGGCCCCCGCGTCCGACGACGAAGACGAAGATGATCTCGCCTACGAACCGATCCATGACGGGGACACGTTCTCGTCCTGGTTCGGCCGGTTGTCCGACCGCGGGCAACCGAGCGCTCGCCGCCATCGTCACGACGCCGCCCAACGAAGTCCGCCGCTGCTACCCGAGGACCCTTTAGATAGTAGGATCAGTAGCAACTATCGCCCGAGTGGCTCGCCCATGTCGACCACGGAGGCGTTACTACAGTCGGTCCGCCGTCAGCCACGCTTCTCCCGCACCCGAACGCTTCACAACTATCTACTTGACCGGGAACGGGCCAGCCACGATGCGGAGGAGACGCTGCGGGATCGGTCGGGCGCCGCGGCGGCCTCGTCCAGAGCATATCGGTTCCTGCCGAGCAGTCGCAGCGAGGCCCATCGACTACTGACACACAACGACCTACGCGCCCGGATCAGCGCCCACCGACAGATGCACCTGGACAACCCGCCCAGTCCGCGGCTCAAAGAAACCATCAAGTACCTCGACCGTCTTCGATACTCCAACTCGTTCGAGGAGAGTCTCACCTCGGCGGCCGCGGGGGGGTTTGTGTCGATGGATTTCCTGTCCTGGGACGAGGACGACTTCATCCTCGACACGACTTCGATCGCGCCCCCGCCCATGTGCTCCTGGCTGCGGCCCGGGATGGTATTCTCCGGGTCCCAGCGCGCCGCCAGCAGCGCCAGCACAGTCCTGGCCCAGCACCCGTCGAGTCCGTCCGGGGGGCAGGATCCCGTCATCGTCAACGGCAGCGAGCAGCCAAACCCCGCCCGCGTCGGCGTGCGCACGTCGAGCGGGCGGCGATACATGGCCAACAACATCTACCACCTGGGGAGCGGCAAGGACGAGAACTGGCCGGTCAAGGTGACGATCCACAATATCAACCCGTGCGACATGACGTTATCCGGCACAATGGAAGCGTACAACATCCCAGACAAGACGACGCCGTCGCACGACGCGCACATCGTGACCTTCCTCGAGGGGGAGATCATCGACTTCAACACCCACACGCTGGAGACGAAGAACTTCACCGCAAACGCAGACATCGACAGCACGTATTGGCGGGAGCTGCATCCGTTCAAGAACCTAACAGACGACGAGATGACGCGGAATCTGGTGAGTCGGAAGTGGGTGACGGACGAGCTGTGCCGGGGGTGGATCTTGATGCGATGGAAGGGTATGCTTGCCCCCTCTTTTCTCCCTCTATCTTTCTTCATCTTTGTGCTAACCTGGCAGAACGCTGTTTCATCACGCCGACGGATTCACGACAAGGACTTACGATATCAGGGTTCTACTATATCTCGTTGCACCGGGAGAGCGGACACATCGAAGGGTTATACTATGACCCCGGGAGCTCACCGTACCAGCAATTATCATTACAGCCGGAAAACAAAAAGATGGTGCGACCGTCGTATAGTTTCCGCTAGTGAGTATACGGTATATATGTATAATAGTGCAGCCACATAGCCTACAAGACAATAAAGAAGTTAAAAAGGTCAGATGACAAGACGTCAAGATTGAGCTATTTGTAGTAGTTGTAGTTGCAGTAGATACAAATCCACCTACAAATCCACCCGAAGACAGGATCATATCCAGATCATCAAAGATCAAGACATAATTTACTGCTCAGTCTGGAAGTAGTTGAGCAGGACGGAGCGCTCCTGCGACTCCTCACCCCAATCCTTAACGACAACGCAAGAGCAGTTGACGACCTTGCGGGCGTTACCCTCGCGATCGAGCTGGCCTGTAAAAACAGTTAGCAAATCAATTTCCCCTCCCTTTTCTTCTTTTCCTCCGGGGAAAAAAAAAAAAATTGAAATAAAATAGATGAGGGAAACATACAAAGACCAACCCACTCGCCGAGCATCTTTCCATCAGGGACCTTGATCAGGGGGATCTTGTGCTCGGAGCAGAGCGCAATAACCAGCTTCTTGTAGGCCTCCTCCTCGCAGCCCTCGTTGAGCACACACATGTGCGCCTGGCGACGGTCGAGCGTCTTGGCGGCCTCGCGGAGACCGCGCGCCAGACCGTCGTGGATCAGCGAGATGCGCAGCACGCCCTTGAGCGCGTCCAGCACGGACATCTGGCCAGAGCCGCCGGCGTCGGCGCTCACCTCGACCTCATCGGCAGCGGCGACGGGGGGGTTGGATTGGGTCTCTTCTCCGTCCGACTGTTTCACATGATTTTTGGTTAGTTTGGAGGGGAATTGGTTTGAACGGAGTGGAGGAGGGGTTGCGGTTTAGGGGTGGCACTGAATGTGTGCGTATCTTTGGGGACAGTAACGCACCATTGTGATTGTTTCGGATGTTCCTCAAAGAGTGAGTTGAGTGTGGTGTTGTGGAAGTTGTTGTCGCTCGATTCGGGCTCATCTTCGCTTCGCCTAAAATTATCCGTGTGCCCTATTAGTCAGCTCACGTGTTAGTCACGTGATTTATTCTCCCGCGACATACTCCAGTAGCAACCACGTGATACCCCCCCACCAAGTCGACTCCACTACGCTGTACTCCATACATCATCTACAGTATCCAGTAAAGTGATATCCAATATCATACACTAGACGTATGTACTCGGTCGATACCCGTTGGTCAACCCCTCCATAGGCCCATGCCCATGCCCGTTGGTCCGCGCCTCCTGATCGATGTGCATCTTGAGAAATTGCAGGTCCAGCCCGTGGAGGTGCGGAATATGGGGAACAAGATCCATAAAGTCGGACAGCTTCACCAATTAGTTTCAGTATTTCAATAGTCAGAAGGGGGAGGAAAGATACCTTAACCCAAAATACATGCTCCATCTCAAAGTATTTCGGTCGCGTCTCACTGTCCTTCTGCATGACTTGCCCCCATGATGATCCTAAAACTTCCCTCTCGTCCGCCTGCACCAGCATCCGCCGTGTAACCCGCCACAGGTTCATCCGTTGCGTCGGGGTTGCATCGCGCTTCTCCCAGCTGGCGTACTGCGACAGCTGGAGGTCATTCGTCGCCAGGAGCGGTGCCACCAGGTAGTTCGGCACCCATCGGTCCTCTGCCACCGTCGCATCACACGTAGGATCCAGCTGCCGCGTCTCCGCCGTCACTACCGGCAGGAATTTGCGCAGCCACGCGTGGCTGCGGGCCTGAGCGTCGTTCGACCCCACCAGGTGCGCCGCGATCCGCAGTCGGCTGGGCAGTCCCTCCCGCCGTCGCTGCTCCAGCTCCTCCTGCTCACGCCGCTGCTTTGCCAACCGCAACCGCTCCTGCTCCAGTCGCTTCTGCCGCTCATCTTCCGCCTGTTTGGCCCGTCGCTGCTCCGCTTCCTTGCGTCGCCGCTCCTCCTTCTCCTCCTCTGCGGCCTTCTCTGCGGCTTTCTCTGCGGCTTTCTCTGCGGCTTTCTCTGCGGCCTTCTCCGCGGCTTTCTCCTGCGCCAGACGTGCCGCCTGGGCCGCCCGATCGGCCGCTTCCCGGTCCAGACGAGCCTGTTCCGCTTCGGCCGCCAGCCGCGCTTCCTCAGCTCGTCGTTGCGCCGCCGCCTCTGCATCCCGCTGCCGGCGGGCATCGGCCTCGGCGGCATCGCGGGCGCGTCGATCCGCGGCACTGTCGGCGTCCACCATGGGAATGTCGTCCAGACCGCGACGCTCCTGCTTCCCGTGCTCTTCTTTCACGGGATCCCGTTCGACACTCTTCAACGGCGGCCCTCCCACACGATCGTTATGGGTCGTGGGACGGGGCGGCAGAGGATGACCTTCCTCGGTTGGCGGCGGCGCCTCTCGCTTCCCCCCGCCATTTGTGAGGCTCGGCGTGCCGTCATCGTTCAGGACACGGCGCTTTTTCTTCGGTCCGTCGGAGGCGGCAGGGCGCTCGGGATCCATGCCACGCGATCGCGGTCGCTCGGGGCTCGCACTGCTGCGTCCCCGCTTCAAGGGAGCCGGAAGTCCGGATTTGGCGCCCTCCGGATCGCCCGGTCGGGTACTCCCCTCGTCGTCGGAGGGCAGACTGGGCCGCCGACGCTCGCGGTCCGCCGGCGGTCGTCCGGAAAACAGTCGTCGTCGTTTCGGTGCATCGTCGCCGCGATCCGCGTGGCTGTCCTTGCCCGCTGGGGTCATCACCTTGGATTTGGCGGTCTCCACGCTGTCGCCCTCCTTCCGGGCCACTTTCGGACGTGGCACGCCGGGCCGATCTTTGGGGTGCGGGTGGGGGGCACCGTCGCGGCGTTTCTCCTTCAAGAGGGACGCTTCCTTGGACACGGGGCGCGCCGCGCCGGTTTCGATAGATTTCCGCGGGACGGCCGCCGCCGGAGACGTGGAGTCCCGGCGCCCCGGCCGCTTGTTCTCCTTGTCCTTGTCCCGCGCCCGTCGGGGCGAGGAGGCGAGTTCGGCCTTGCGCTGTCGCTTCGCCCGCACGTATTTCTCATATGCGTCGCGGAGCAGATCGTACTCTTCCTCCCAGTTCTCCGCACGGCGATCGCGGGACAGTTCGTAGTAAGTCCGGTCTCGATACAGGCGCCGGGACGGGTTGAAGTCGGGGTTGTCCAGCAGGATCCGGATGACGGCCAGGTTGCCGCGGCCGATCGCGGCCAGCATGGGGGTGTTGTAGCCCGGTTTGTGGGAGCCCCCCGCGACGGGGTCGGGGTCGGGGTCCGCGTCGCCCATGCCCAGGAGGAGCGAGATCACCTCGTCGTGGCCGCCTTTGGCCGCCGCGATCATGGACTCGGGATCGGCCTTCTGCCCCACGTTGAGGATGTTGGCCACGCCCTCCATGTCCCCCTTGGCGGCGAACGCCTGCAAATTCTCCGGCGTCGCTTTGGTCCACAGGAGGTCGTTGCGCGTGGCCTCGCGGCGGACCACCTTGCGCCGCGTGGCGGCGGGACCCGGCGGCGGCGGACTCCGCGGCCCGTGTACGGGGGTCAGGTCGCGGCCGCTACCGTTGGAGACGCGCCGAGACGCAGGTTCCTTGCTGACCGACGCCGCCCGCTCCTCCGACCGACGGTGCTGGCGGGGGTTGGCCTTGGCATCTGCAATCACGCGCCGAATCTCCTCGAACTCCTCCGAATCGGATGGGACCAGATCGTACGGCTCGTCGCCCTCGGCGTTGAGGGTCCGGGGGTTGGCCCCCGCGGCGAGGAGCAGCTTCACGACGTCAAGGTGCCCGTTTTCGACGGCGTCGATCAGCGGCGTGTCCTTGTCGATGTTCTTCGTATCGATCTCACAGCCGGCCTCGAGCAGGAACTTGACGATCGGGGCACACCCCTCGAGGGAGGCGATCTGCAGGGGGGTGTTGCCTGCGTTGTCGGCCACGTTCAGATCGTCGGGTCGTTCCGAGTGTCGTGCGATGGCCGCCTCGAGCTCCTGGGCCGCACAGGCCCGCGCGAGCCGCGTCCGACCGTTTTGATCCCGCTGTTTCTTGCTGCCCATGGGGCGGGCTGGCGACGCCGACGCGCCGTCAACCAGCTTGCGCAGGTGCGCGGAGGGGAGTGGGGAGCCGCTGGTTGAGGACGAGACCGACTGCCGATCCTCGGAACTCTGCCGGGGGAAGCCCGTGACGAGGGGGGTTGGGGCTTTCTTCTTCCGCGGGGGCGCAGCATCACTGCTGCTGCTGCTACCGCCCAGCTGTGGGCCCGAGGCCGCCCGCTTGTGGGTGTGTCGCACGGGCGACGTCGATCGGTCCTTGACGGAGGGGGGTGGGAGGGAGACGTCGCCCAGGTCTCGCCGGGGGGGGTGGCGCGAGGCCGCGGGATGATGGCGCGGAGGGCGACCCGCGTCCCCGTCGCCGGCCATCACCTCACTCAGGCTCCGTTTCCTCGGCAATCTGGGCGCCGACGTGGCGGGCGCGGGCGCGGGCTTGCGGGGGACGGCATCCAGCTCCTCGGACCTTTCGAGCTTGACAATCGACGGGGGGGACGGGGGCCTCGGGGGCAGACCCGCGGGACGAGGCGGGGCGCGGTCGCGTGCATCTGACGGCTCCCTATCCACCACCTCCGCAGCATTCACCCGTCGGGGCGGGAGCTCATTCGGGGGACGGTCCCTCCCCCCAGGTTCTACACGGTCATCATGTCCTTCGTCACGTCGTTTCGTGGGTTCATGTTCAATATACTTGCGTCGTTTCTGGGGCGACAGCGACTCGCGGCCCGACTGGATGATGGTCTCGGCCTCGGAGTCGGCCTTGGGGCTCGGGGGCCCATCGCCCTCCTCCGCGCCAGGGGCCGGGGGCAGCTCGACCGACGCCTCCTCTGGTCGGGGGGGCGGGGGTGGCGAGGCCCTCCGGGGCGACGACGGAGCGGCCGGGGACCGGTGGTTCACCTCAAGGGCGAGCGCAGGTTGACCGGCATCCAGGGTAGCTGGCACGGAGGGGGCAGTGTCAACATCACTCATAGCGGTAGCACTCGAATGTTGGGGGTTCTGCTCGTCATCTTCGGGAGACGTGACGGACGGTAGAATGGTGGCCGAGGCACCAGCGGACGAGCGCGGAGGTGCTGACCACGCTATGATAGCAATCGGAGAGCTTCGTCTGTCGAGATTGGAACGTGGGGTTGATATGGGCTTGGAACGCGTGTACCCGAGGACCGGTGAGCGGAAGTCGTTGAGGATACGGTGAGGTGGGTCGAGTATGGTGGTAGGATTGAAGGGAATTGAATGCAGAGATTCGGGGATGATCGGATGGGGTCAACGGATGGGGTGAAGAGGTCAAGAGGTCAAGAGGTCATAGGAAGGAGGATTGGAATGGGTAGAGGAGAAGGATGGAGGATATTAGTAGGAGGAAAGATAGATGAAAGAGACGCGAGGAAGAGGAGGGTATGAGGAAGAAGGAAGGAAGAAGAAGGAAGAAGACGGGGGGGGAGAAAGAAAGAGAGAAAGGAAAGAGAGAGAGAGAGAGTGAGAAGAGAGAGAGAGAGAAACGATGAAACGACCGAGAGGGAAAATTGGGGAGTCGAGTCAATACGGTGTTAGTCACGTATGGTAATTCTCTCTCGTTCTCTATTTCTACGTCTCTATTCCTTCCTCTGCCTCTCTGTCTTCTGTCTTTCTTTTGGAGATGTTCTCTAGATCTATCGAATAGAATGGACGATTCATTTTGTCCAGATCCTTTAACACAGAGGAGGATCAAATCATTGGATCGAATGAAGATGAAGACGAAGATGTAATCCGGATACGTACGCTGTAATTCCGTCCGCAAATCTCCTGCGCGAAGGCCCAAAAACCGGGCGGGGCGAATCCAGTGGCGGATGAATCATTCTTTTGATTAACTTTCTCTTGATCTTGTTGATTGATTCTTTTTTTATTCTCTCTCTTTATTTTCCTTATGCTTGCTGTTATCTACAACAATCAAATTGAAAGTCTACAACGTGATGATGGTAATAGTCCAAAATGCAAGAATCCTGACGCCTAAGGCAACTTCGAGGTGGACGAAGGACGCCTTTCCTAATCCGGCCTAGTGGGCGGACTCCCCCTCAGGCACCAATCAGGCCACGCCACCCTGCAATCAGCTGACTCATCCTCCCCACATCGACCGTCTTCCCCCTTTGGCCGGATGGCGTTGCATCCATGGATCAGCTGCGGGCAAATATATATAGATAGATGGCGGAGTAGCAGTATAGGAGTGAAGGTATCATGAAGAGGGGTGATAGAGCATTCTAGTTGGGAATGCCAGGCAGATACTAAGATCAAGATCAAAGCAGGCTCGGCTTCATGGGTGTTTAATGTCCAGTCTAACGAACCAACCATGACTAGTTCACTAGCTGGAACTAACCAACTCTCTCTTCTTCTAGGTTCTACGGTGTATTGACTATTTACTATTGATGTGTCTCCCTCAGTTCCAGCTGGCAATAGACGATAATCTTTGTTTAGATCCTCACCACACAGCGCCGATCATACTCCTCTTGGCTTTGCCCCCTCAACAACCTAGTCCGATCGCAACCCCTGCTGATAAGAGGCAAGAGGGATCGCGCTTGTATCACCATGAGTCGTCAGAATCTCGTTTCCCTCCACTCAATCAGAAACCGAATCCCTGCTACCTACTACCAGGCTTCGAGGGAAGATGACGTACACGTGACGTGACTTCATTGGGGATGATGCAGCCCTAATTACCATATCCTTCCTACTCACCTACTTTATATTGTGTCCATTCTATCAAGCTTAGAATAGGAGTGATATGGATGTCACCATTATCAACTGATATACGATACAGCCCATTAATATCCAGTTCTACTCGACAAGGATGAGATCGAACCCCACCCATCCAGTCGATACATCAATTGCTGCCGACGTCCTCGTCAACCCAGGGAATGCCGGCATGCAGCAAGCAGCATCAGCTGGATCGGGCCGATTCTTCATTTATGCATCACAGATCAAACTGATCGGAATAAACTGGGGTAACCAAAATTGCTTATTAAAGTAAATTTAGATACGAAGGGAAAAAGGCAAAAATGAAAAAGCAAAAGAAACGAAGAAGAAGGGAAAAAATTATTAAGATTTCCCAACAAACTTCATCGCATTTCCCAATCTCGCTACCCTCACCACATCTCGATACGTCAAACTGACCCTCGTCTGCCGCTCCGCCCACCCCGCCGCCTGGAATCGCTCCCGCTCCCCTAGCAGATCCCAGTTACAGATGGTGCCCGCACCCAGCGCCTCGTCCCTGTCGGTCTCCGCGATCCCATGCAAGAACTCCCGGTACAGCGCCCCCCTCGTCACCAGCAGACTGCGCCTCTCCTGCAACACCCGGTACCGCGGCCGCCGACCACCCTGGCCATCATCGTCGTCGCCGTTGTCCGTCTTCGCGTACAGGTCCAGCACCGTCGCCGAGCCCAGACTCACCGTCGCCACGAGCGGGTGGTACGCGGGGCCGTCCTCGTGCGGCATGATCCCCTGCCCGGGCCGGTACTCGTTGATCAGGATGTGGTTGGGCCCGCCGTGCGGCGCGTCGCGGAACAGGCCTAACTCGTCGAAGCGGGGGCGGATGATGGGCGAGACAAGCCACGCGGGCAGCGGTGCGGCGATCAGCGTGTTGGTCTTGGTGAGTGCTGATGGCCACGTCTGGAGACGCCGGTGCGACAGGTGCGTCCAGCGGGGGCGGGGGACGCTGTTGATCTGGCACTGTTAACTATCATCTTGGGTAGTAGCCGCATAGATGGAAGAAGAAAACATTCACCCGGATAGATAGACTGCGGGCCTATCTTCTATCTATCTATCTTTCTTTTATCTTACGTCCCTCCTTCCTCTCTTATCTATTGAGACGATCTCCATACCTTTTGTAGCAAACTAGCCTCCTCATCCTCCGAGATAAAATCCGCAATGTAAAACGCCTCGTCAGGCAAGGTCTTCACCCGGGCGGCATCCAGATCCAACCCCATTGTTTGCTATTGCTATATTCTTGGGGTAGTATCGGATCGGACAGTGCATCTGCGTCGTCTGATGTATCAAATTCAGCTCCTCACACAATGTAATGTACCGCGCGGGTGGGTTGTGTTGGATGCATTGGCCCTGGTGTATGGACCAATGAACCCAAACAACAGGGGGGGTGTCGACGGCGCCACAAGCACCGAGTTCGGATATGCATGCATATTGGCTCTCAAACGGGGGGATGCAATAAAAACGAGATCAAAGTATCCCCCCCCCCATCCCTCCGCGGAAAAGAGACGTGTATACGACCTACCGGAATCCTCGGTTTCTAGTTCGAGTGTCTGACTGGTTGGAGTGGAGGGATCGCCCGTGTTCTAGCAATCAGTGGGTGTGGGGGGTGTGTGAGTGAGTGTACTACCTGTGGTATACTATGGAAGGAGGGGTGTGTGTGTGAAGATAGATAGATAGACAGATCGATAGATCGGAAAGAAGATAAAAGATGAAGAAGACGACGAGATGAAGATGTTATAACTTATAAACAAGAGAATCATCGACACAACTGCCTCAGGCTGCAACCCCACCGCCCCACACCCGACATCATCTTCTCCTTCTTTTGTCCTTCTTTCATTCTTCTTCTTTCTCCTCCCGTATAACTTCTTTGTTGTGGTCCCCACTCTCTCTATATATCTCTCCCATCTTCTCTCGTACCCGACACAGCCAAGTGCATCAAGAATGGCACCCAAAAACAACGCCAAGGGCGGCGACAAGAAGGGCAAGGGCAAGGACGAAGGGAGCTCCGATAAAGGGAAGGGGTTGAAGCCAGCCAGCTCGATCAACGTGCGGCACATTCTTGTATGTTTTTTTTTTCATCTTTCTTTGTTTATCTTCTTGAGCTTCTTCCTCGACTTTGTCTGTCTCCGCAAAGCATTGCGGGGCTTCGAATCAAGTCAATTGCATCTTATCGATCTGGGAGGAGATGTAAACGTGCTGTGGTGATCCATACATACTGCTATCCGGTGGCGCATACATGCCTACTATGTTATGCTATGCTAATGGGTACACCTGCGCAAAATCTGGCATGCGGGTTGTGTTTGTACCTGGTACCTATCCCTTGATGAGTTCTCCACTGCGCCGCGGTGGACTACCCTGAGTTGGATATGGACTTATCAGCCTGGATCCTCGTTGATATTGACCACCATCTATCCCCCAAGAGCACCACAACCAAACACAATCCAAACCAAAGAATGAAAGAAAGAAAAAGCTAACCAGCCCAGTGCGAAAAATTCTCCAAAAAAGAAGAAGCCCTCGAGAAGCTCCGCAACGGCTCCAAATTCGACGAAGTCGCGAGGGAGTTCTCCGAGGACAAAGCCAGACAGGGTATGTCTCCCTATCTCTTCTCCTATAGCTTAAATCTCCCAACCCCTCCAGCACGCGAGGGGGGGATAAGGCAGCCATCAGCGTAGTTGTCAATTGACTAACATACGTACCAGGCGGCTCTCTTGGGTGGAAAACCCGCGGTAGTCTGGACTCGACGTTCGAGAAAGCTGCGTTCGACCTGGAGCCCAGCACGACGGCGAATCCTACGTACGCGGATGTGAAGACTGGGTTTGGGTATCATATTATTATGGTTGAGGGGAGGAAGTGATCTTTTAATCTTATCTTTTCTTATCTTTTTTTGTTTCTTCAAAGCTGTTTCTTCGGTCAGTGCTGTGTGATGTCTGATGTGTAGTATGTGTGATGTGTGGTCTGTGTGTGTCTGTTTGATTGTCTCGTGTGATACCTCCTCGGCTATTTCTTTCTTTCTCTGTCTATATCTTTGTTTGTCTTGCTTCTTCTCTTGGACGCCCAGGACCGACCCTAGGAGAGTAAATGTTGATCAGACTACTACCGATGAAATAAACGAAAATGATAATGCGAGCCCAAAACCCCAGTTGTATAACTACCCAAGTGAGAACCACAATCTCTACTAAGATCTATTGTTAACCCACGACTATGTACATATGGAAGAATAACCAAAACTAAAAAAAAAAAAGAGAAAAGAGGGAAAAGTTGATCATAAAGCTAATCCTTCTTCGCCCGCGCCTTGGCCTTCTTCTCCTGCCTCTGCACGATAGCCTCAGCACCGATCCCACCAAAGACGAGTCCCACGCCCAGCCACTGTCCAGCGGACAGGGAGTGGCCGAACCAGAACACGCTGAGCAGCATGGTGAGCATCTTGCGGGTGACGGTGACGGTGACGAGGAGGAGGGACGAGAAGCGCGAGAGCGTGTAGAAGATGAAGAGCTGGCCGACGGCGCCGCAGGCAGCGAAGCCGAGCACGTTCTTCAGGGCTTCAGGGTGGCGGGAGAGGAAGGAGATGGCGGAGGTGAGCTCCGTCTCTGTGGAGGGCGGGATAGGGATGGGGAGGAAGTTGTGCAGGACGCCTGTTGAGGAGAGGTGCGGGACGGCGAGGAGGTAGCCTGTTGTGAGGAGGGTGGAGAGCACGTTCTGCGCGACCATCATCTGCGGGCCGGTGAAGCGGGTGTAGGTCTGCGGGGAGGTGAAGACGTGGTCTTGGGTGGTGTTGGTCAGGCCGTCGAGGAGGAGGTTGATGGAGAGGAGGAAGATGCCCCAGCCGGACTGCTGCGTGGAGGACGCCGCCGCCGCGACTTTCTTGCTGGTTCCTGGGTGGTGCAGGGTGAAGGTGGCGACGCCGAGGGTGACCATTAGGACGACGCCGTATTTGTATAGCGGGTAGCGCTTGCGGAAGATGGTCAGATGCAGGAACATGACGGGGAGCAGCTTGCAGGACTTGGCGAGGATGAAGGTGAGGTAGTCGATGTGCGCGAGACTGGCGTATCCGAAGGGCGAGGCGAGCGACGAGGAGATGCTGACGAGGAGCAGGGGGGTGACGATCTTGCGCGTGGGGAAGATCGACGGGATCTTTTGTCCGGAGGGGGTCGAGAAGAACAGGTAGAGGAGTCCGGTGATCGCCGCGAATGTGGACTGGATGGTGTTCAGGACGATCGAGTAGGTGAAGCGCTCTGTGGGAGGCTCTGGCTCCGATGCGCTTGCTGCGCGCACCGGGTACGACACGGTGGTGATTGCTTCCTGGAGGACGCCCCACGATAGGCTATTCTCAGTCAGTATGCGAACATGTAGCGCATCCAATGGTTCGTGGGGAAAGAAAAGGCGCATACAATGAGGCATAGATTCCCAGAACGCAGATCGCGAGCTGTAACAGACCCGGGGATTCTGGCGCTTCATCGCGACCAGGTCCCCCAGAGGCGGCCCCATTCGCAGTGGTCTTGGACACCTTCGCGCCGCCATTCTGTTCCTTCACTAGCGACCCATTCTCTTCTCGAAGCAAGTCTGCCAGTTCTGACGACGTGGTCCGCTGCAGGGGCGTGGATTGCTTCTGGCGCGCCATCGTCCTGTATCAGATTGCAGAGCAGACACAATCTAAGTGAAGGGCCCTGAAAGAAAAAATATATCAATAGAAATCTAGATTCAGAAAAGAAGCCTTCTATTCTGCAGAGTGTGAATCAACGAAAGAACAAAGTCAGCGAGGAGGAGAAAAGAAAAACAGCGGCAGATGATGCCATGTGTTAACTAAAAACCGCACAGGGCGGCACGATCGCCATTTAGCGTCGGTCTGGGTGGGTCCATGATTGATTTCTGCTTCTTCACCATTTGGATTGTCGCTCATGAACAGTCAGTCAATCACCAAGTCTGATCTAGATCTGTACTGCCTGCTGAAATATATTCCCAATTGAATCGACAGAACCCGATCCTCCCACCTCCTCCAGTCCACCCTCGAGATATCCACACCATCACCGAAACCATCTCGTCACCCCGCCAATTCTCCATCTCTGAGAAAAAGGACCTCCAGCGCACACGAAACAACACCAGAAGAACCAGGAAAGAATCAACAAAATGACAACAAAAACACCCACCAAACCCCCCCAACCCTCCGCCCTCACCAACCTGATCGCCTCCTCCTCCACCACCACCCCCGAACCCTCCAACTCCCTCACCGCAAGCACCCTCCAAATCCTCCACAACCTCCAACACCAACACCTCTGGACATCGCTGCAGACACACGAGATTGAACTTCCCGCGCCATCCAAAGATACCTCTTCCTCCTCTGCCGACCCCTCCTCCCCCTCTGCCAGCTTCCCCACCACCACCACCACAACAACAACAACACAATACCTCATCTCAGGCATCCCACCCCACCACGTCTACATCCACCCCGACGAGCAACTCTACATGCTCCAGCGCGGCCTGCGCGAGACCGACATTGAGCTGGAGCGACTCTTCGTGCTCCCTGCCGTGCAGGGCCAGTCGTGGAGTCTGGCGCGGTTGGCTGCCGTGTTTGATTCCTTGCCCGGGGGGGGAGAGCGTCCTGCTGCGAGTACTGCTCTGGATGAGGGAGAGGGGAGTGAAGGCGACAAGGCTGCCAACTTGGCAGAGTACTACGAATATCGGGAAAAGGCGTCCCTCACGAAGGAGTGGGGCGGGAAGAGGATCTTGCTGGCTATGGCGGATAGGATGATGGGTGGGGATGGGACGGTTGTTTATTATGTTGTGCAGGAGGGGGCTGTTAAGCCGAGGCAAAATTAATTGATATATACGGTGTTGCTCATTGGGTGGATGCTACGACCTTAACTCTTGGTCTTGGGGACTGCGAGGTCTGTGGACAAGTTTCTAATTCCTAGCATTGATCGACCCGCGTTCCCAAACTTGCTTGACAGCTATTATATACATGGGCAGACAGAGAGATGGTCAAGGCCAAATCTTGGTCGTCCGTCCTGGATATGTGCGACAAAATAGACAACAACAGACATCAACTGCAACCGGGTATCGTTTCAACAAGGAAACCGAAAGGAGGGGGGGGCGGGGGAAATAACATGAACGACAACAATAAAAACGGCGGGGAATAAAAAAAGAAAGGATCATGGATTTGCCAAAATGCGCCCCTTCTCCACCAGCTTATCCTGCTCTGTGCGACAGCTGGTGCAATACTGATCATACCACTTCTTGACGTCGCCCGTGAGGTCAGCAAACACAGATGGACTCGGTTGGTCCACGTCTGCATCGTCGCTTCCGTTGTCTTTTCCGAGGAGGGATTCCACCTGGCGACAGCGGCGCAACTCCTGCTTGAGCCAGCGCTCCCATTCGCCCTCGATGACTTCCTTCTCGATGCTGTTAACCACCCGGAGTGCGACGAGCAAGTTGTGTCGGTACATGCCGAGGCGCTCGCGCGTCTGCTGCAGCCGTCGGACGGCGCTCTTCGTCATTGCGTCCCGGGCGCTCGGCATCCCGACGGCGAGCATGCTGCCCGGGTCACGGATGGTCTGTTGGTGGAAGGTGGAGAAGCAGTCGCTTACGCCGCTGTCGGTGGTGTTCCCGACGCTTGAATTGGCGATGGCTTCGTCGATGTCTTTGATGTAGATAGCTTTGCTCATGACGTGGTCCGGGTGGACACCCAGCCGAGCCATGAAGTTCCCGGCGTTTCGCTCGTGGTACCACTCGTATGCGTCCCGCGATGTGTAGAATGAGTTAATGAAAACGCTCGATATCAGGAGTCCCAGGATCACTTTATTGGCGTTGGTGGTCTTCCAGATCCAGCGGAAGAGCCCAAACGTCCAGAGCATGATGGATGACACCGTGCTCTCGAGTAGACTGACGAACGTCTCGTAGAGTAGCTCGGCCAGCGTGCGCTGCTTCCGTGGTTTGCGTGGCTCCGTTTTGAATTCCGGCTCGCTGGGGAACTGCGACACGAGACTCTGCCGCCCGATGTGGCCGAAGATCGTGATGGCTTTCTTGGTTCGGCTGTGTGCGCCGAGCCGGCGCACCTGGTCGCTGACCAAATCGACCAAGTCCAGAGCATCTTGCTCCAGATCACTGTTGGCTTGTTTGTCAATGATATCTAGGAATTTATTAACAGCCATCGTATAAATAAGATGGACCAAATACTCACTTTGGAGGCCATAAGACGACCCCAGCCACTCAACCTTAGTGTAAATCGAAAGCTTGCACTTCCCCTTGGCGGCAAATGTGACCACGATCTTGCTGACTAGTCTGAAAGAACGCTTGAAGGGAAGATGCCACGGAGTCCGTTTGTCTGTAACCACGTAGCACAGATGTTCATTGAGGACGTCAATGATCTGGTAATCGGAGATACTTTTGGCTTGGGATCGTCCTGGAAGGGTCAAGTTTAGTGTTGGACTAGAGAAAGAAGGAAAAAAGGCAAAACACACCAAACAAGTCTTCCGTCTCAATTTGGTACTGGAAGTCTCTCCTCAAATGACGCGAATGGTTTCTGACCCATGGCCCTTGCTTAATGTCTTCATCTCGTTAGTTTCGCATTCGCATTAGAGGGACAGGTGACAATGACATACCTCGCGCCCTTCTTTGATGGAGGAGCAGCTGCCAGACAGCACTCTTGTCGCCAAAAAGTATATGGCAGACCGCTTTCGGACTGAGATCGAACACTTTCTCCGCTGCCAGGTTAAGGTTCCCCTGGGGAACGTACTGAACTGGCTGCGTTGGCAGTCTGAACTTTGACGCATCCCGTCCATAGCCGTACCTCTTGGGATGCGGGTCAAGAGTTTTATCGATATATATGGGCGCTCGGAAATCCCTTCTAGGCCCCGACTCGGTGACGTCTTCACCAGCATGAGCTGTCTCGTCCGCGCCGGTCACGTCTTCCCAACTGTCCAAACTAGGAGTCCGCGTCAAAGAATCGGTTTCCATCTTGTTCAGCGTCTTGAAGATCGCTTCCAACCCCATAGGCTCCACGGCTGTAGAGTCATTGATCAAGAAATTGAGGCGCTTCTGGAGAAGTTTCAGCGGCTCGAGGAATGTCTTGACTGTCACTCGGCCAGGGGTGTCTTCTCCGGGAGGCGGGATGGTGTGAAGAAACAGGAAATCGCAATCTCTTCCTGCAGCAGCCGTCACTTCTCTAATACCATCCAGAGAGATACTAGTAGTCAAGACCAGACCAAAGTAGTGACTGTAGAAATAGAGGTTTTGCGTAGTAACGTAGGCCCTTCCGGGGAACTCTTGCTGATCATTCGGATTCCACGTGGCTCGAAACACCATGACCAAAGGCTCCTCTCTCCGGACGTTGGGGAAAAGTAGACGGAATTGGGCATCCTGAATCTTGAGTTGTGGTGGGTAGTAGCTAGGATACTCGTGTGCGAGCCCCAAGATCGAACGCTGCATCTTGGAGGCGTCTCCATCGAGGCTAACGGTCTGTCTGTGACGCGGGCCGTTCTTTTGCTGTCCACTGTCCCCTTCGGCAAGTTCTTTTTTAGATGAATCACTCGATGGCGAAATTGGTGGCTGTACAGATGTCGTAGTCTGGCCAATGGCGTCCCCATTCAAGCGTTCCCGTGCAAACTTGTTCATGAAACCCCAGTTGGAGCTACCCCATAAGTTCGCCATCATACCGCTTGGCATTCCCCCAGTCTTATCGCTCTGGCCAAGGCCGATCCCTCGTTCATTGTTGACTAGGACGGCTGCCTTGCTCATACTTGTTGGCGCAGGCGGGTTTGCCAATGTCAGAGGCGCCAGAGTTGAAGGAGCATCCAGGGGATTCGTCATGCTACGACTTCTTGTACCGTCATTGTCCAAGAGAGTAGATGTAGGCGGGAGGGCACCGCTGGAAGCAATGGCGTTGTGACTGGCCGAGATCAGGCTCGCTATTCCGCCATTCGCACCCGGGATCGAATAAGATGGCTGCACTGCATTGTTGCCCTTGCGGTGGAGATCCAATTTATGCATGATTCGTGAAGTATGCTCCCGCGCAGAGCTTTCAGGCTCCCCAGATGTCATCCGCCGATGACTGCCTAGATCAGTACTACTCCGAAGAGCACTCTCGCGCTCCGGTAGAGCAAGGCGATCACCAGACCCCTGTTCGTCGCTCGAGTGGGGAGTTAGAGAGTCGGCTGGGTCAGCTGCGAATTCAGGGGCTGGAGGCTGGGATATGGAAAATGCAGGATCTTGCACAGTCATCTTTCCAGACACCGAAATATCGGTGCTTGCTGGGTTCTCCAATGCTTTCCGTTTGGCAGCCTCAAAGGCCCCGATCCACTCGATCAGTTCTTCCTGGGTCTCCGCCTGAAGCAATATGGTGGTGCTCTTTGTTTTGACCTCGAAGCAGAATCGCCGATCTTCCTGGATAGCCGGACGAACACTGCAGAGAAGGACACCTATTCTCTCGCTCTCTTCAACACCACCGGTCCGCGAACCCTGCACCAGACAGCCAAATATGCCGTACTTCAAGAAAGCCCAGCGCCTCACCCAGAAGGCGCGAGTGGGCTTCCCTGAGAGTGTACGCAAGTTGACCCACCCCTGCTTCTCCGGCTTTGCGTCTTTAGTCATCTCGAGCGTAGAGATCGGGCGAGATCCATGGTAAGGAACGGTAGAAAGATTATAGTCTTCCAGCTCACGAGACGGCCGTGACGCCACCTCGGCGGCATCCTCAATCTGCTTTCTAGCGCCGAGAAGTTCCCGCCTCGAGGTTCTTTCGCTTCCTTCCATCTCGTGGATCCACCCCTTGATGCGGTCCATCTCCTGGCCCCATTTTGCGAACGTGGCGCCGTTGTTGCTGTGGAAGGTTTTAAACTCGCGCCAGTTTTCGAAAGACACCTGGACTAGCAGCCTATCTAGAGCATTCCGCAATTGGGGAGCTTGCACGGAAAAGTCCATCGATGCCCGGAGGTAAGCCTTGCGGGCTTCGTGGAGCTGGAAGGCATCCTCTCGGAGCGACGACGGTTCTTTCGACTTTGACTGTCCCGAGTATCTAGTCTGCAGGTAGTCGTAGTGCTTCTGTGTTTGTTCGAGAGCGCGATGGGTTTCCTATAGCGGGGTACGTAAGCCACTGCCCCTCCATCGACACGACGACGCCCAAAACCTACCTTGAAGTTCCGCAGATCCTCCTGAATGAAGGCCCGAATAGGCTCTGACACGAGCCCCTCGACCCTTTTGGTCGTAGCGACGAATCCATTCCACAGATCCCTAGAGCTGTCGCCAGATCTCCTCATCGCCAGCAGGGTGTAATCATGGTCGAGTACGGCCTCAGACGCAACCAGGGGATTTGTCGAATATGACAGAAAAACGTTCACCACACTCTCCAGAGCCGCCGAGTCTGCAGCCAGCCGAGACGCGGCCTTTGCGTATCCGTCGAGCCATCGTTCAACGTATTCAATCTGGTCCGAGAAGTGGAGTGTTGTGGCGCGGAAGGTCGGTGAATCGAGAGCGGCCTCCTTTAATCCAACGGGGCTTGAGCAGAACCATCAGTACAGATTCATTCTCGGCTTTTTCTTCATCTCCAATTATCACATCCAAAGCCAACGGTTGACTTACACCACGCTCACAAGCTTCCCGACCTGGGGTGATTGGTTCTGCGGCGGAGTCGACATCTAGTGTATGTTCCCCCAAGCATACACGCGATGGCGAAGATATCAAATAAAATTGACAATAGACCCTGAATTCGATCAAATCAATGACACGAAGGATGTCATCTGACAGGGGAAGAGTCAAGTTCAACAAAGGGGGAGATCAAAGAGTGGGTAAGGAATATCTGGGAAGCTTGAAGCGCCTCCTCAGCCTTCTGGGGAATACAGGCCCGTGGATGATCCAATTGGCTACGTCAGTAAACTCGCTGGCAGCCTGGGCCTGCTGGTCCTCAGGCAACAAACCTCCTATTTGGTGAGCGGTGAGTGCGGGTCTGTTTTTTCTGCCGCCAACATTTTTTTGCCAGGCGCGGGTTAGAAAGAAAAAAAAAAGAGAGAGGGTTACCCACGGTCTACCATTGTTCAATCTTTTTTTTTACAAACGGCAAAAATGGAGCCTCCGGCGAAAAAATCGCGGATGCTGCTAGATGATAGCAGTTCGGATGATTCTGGAGATGAATCCGGTGGTGTCACACTGAATACTTCCAGCGACAAGGACTTCAAGATCAAGGTCAACGAAGAATACGCCCGTCGCTTTGAGTACAACAAGAAGAGAGAAGAATTGGCGAAGTGTAAGTCTGATTCTGTATACTGTTTAAATTCATTTCACTAATCACGGCGTTGTTTACAGTGGAGGCGAAACACGGAAGTGCTGCTCACGAGGAATCCGAAGAGGATTCCGAAGATGATGTGGAAGAAGATGACGAGGCCGAGCTAGCTACCGAAGCCCTTGATGCGGAAATCATGGATACATTGAATGCGATCCGATCGAAAGACCCTCGTGTATACGACGCCAATGCGACCTTCTACCACGAGGGGGAAGAAGACGGCCAGCCTGGGAGCTCAGACAAGAAAGAAAAGCCCATGACGCTACGAGACTACCACCGGAAAACGCTCCTCAGTGGTGCTCATCTGGCGGATGAAGATGAGGATGCGCCCAAGACCTACGCCCAGGAACAGGAAGACCTGAAGATGGCGATCGTCAAAGAGATGCATGCTAGCGGCGATCAGGAAGCGTCGGAGGATGACGAGGAGTCTGATGAGGACAACCTCTTGGTCGCCAAGTCAGCTCCCGAGCGCCCCTCGGCGTCCAAGGCTGATGTCAAGCTCGATGTTGAGAACGCCGACAAAGATCCCGAATCTTTCCTCTCAAATTTCATGTCTGCCAGGGCGTGGCTACCGACCAATCGATCGGAGTTGAAGCCTTTCGAGTCTGACGACGAGGACGAAGATCAGCGCGCCGAAGCTTTCGAAGAGGCATACAACTTCCGCTTTGAAGACCCCAACAAGATGAACACGGTATTGATCACCCACTCCCGTGATGCAATCAACCAGCAGACCGTCCGCCGGGATGAGAAGAGCGGCCGGAAGAAGATCCGCGACCTCGAGCGCCAGCGAAAGGAAGAAGAAAAGAAGCAGCGCGAGACCGAAAAGAACCGGTTGCGAAAATTGAAGGCGGAGGAATTACAGAACAAGGTCAACAAGATCAAGGAAGTGGCCGGCATCCGTGCGTCCCAGTTCACCGACGACGACTGGACCAAATTCCTGGATGGCTCCTGGGACGACAAGGACTGGGAGAAAGAAATGCAAAAGCGCTTCGGCGACGACTACTACGCCGAAGGCGACGGGATCGGGAGCGACGAGGAGGGAGGCAAAAAGCGGAAACACCCGAAGAAGCCGACCTGGGACGACGACATTGACATCAAAGACCTGGTGCCTGATTTCGAGGACGATGAGAAGCCGACTGCAGGCTTGTCTGACGTCGAGATGGGCGATGACGACAACGATGACTCCCCCCAGAAAAGCAAGGCCCAGGAGCGGCGTGATGCGAAACGGGAGGCCCGCAAGGACAAGCTTCGCATTGAGGAGGCGCTCGATCGCACGCTCGACCTAGACATCACCCTCCTTCCCGGTGCGACGAAGAAGAATGCCACTCGTTTCCGCTACCGCGAGACATCTCCCGAAAGTTTCGGGCTGACGGCGCGCGACATTCTCATGGCGAACGACCACGACTTGAACAAATACGCCGGGTTGAAGAAGCTTGCTTCGTTCCGCGAAGAGGAGAAGAAGCGCAAGGATCACAAGCACCTGGGCAAGAAGGCTCGACTGAGGCAATGGCGCAACGATACGTTCGGTAGCGAAGCCGAGCCCGAATGGCGCGTTGGTGAGGCCACGGCTGCCGAGGATGCGCAGGAGGAGACGACCGAAGGCAAGGTTGATATTCGCGGGGATGATGGAGAGCCACGGAAGAAGAAGAGAAAGAGGTCCAAGAAGAATTAATGATTGTGTTTGTATAAAAGTGTGATGGGCTAGTGCATGTATACCAGGCCGTTATCTATGATGATCTTTTCTATAGCATATGGTTTTTCCCTTTTCATTTCAGTCGTACCAATTGATAGTTATCTAAAATCGCCAGTATACGTAGTAGAATGCGGTTCTACACTGGGTAGTATCTAATGTAAAAGCTAAAGAACGTAAAGGGCTTGAAAATCCGAATCGGGGATCCACCAAGAAAATATATAATCGGATATAGCCATTGTTTTACATCGCCTACTCCAAACACCCTACTCATATCTACAAAACAACAACCAATGCCCTTCCCAAACCAGTTATACAAATTTTCACGTGATACAACCCTTCTAGTCAGTAGGTATTCGTAGATAAACACCAAGCAACCCACGCCATCGGCACGATCCACAAGGACACACTCCAGCTGATGTGGCAACACAGAAATCAACCTACCTAGAAAGTTCCCACGATCGGAAATCCGAGTGGCAAAGAGAACCAGACAACAGACATACCAGAAAGACCAGAACGGTTCGACAATGACAGACAGGACCGATGGTCGGAAAGGAACACACACATCACCATCGCGCCCGAGATTATACTTCGGAGTTCTCAGCGGCACCGATGGGGGTTTCCATAACAACGACCAACTATCCTTATCATACAAACAAGGGAGACAGAAAAAATAAAAAAAAAATAAAAAGCCAGCTAACTAACCCGTTAGAACCTAGGAGGTCGGTCGTTTTGATGACTAGCGGTTAGTAGAATAAGTTGATGGACTATGTTTGGTGGGTCTGGTTTCAACGGCGACGAAACAGAGGTTCCAATTCTGTTCTGTTTGATTCATAATGATTGACCTTGGGGCCCATTTTTTGCCTTGTCGAAAAGGAGAGTACTCCATAACTACCTTAGGTAGGTAATAAGGATGGGAGGAAGTAAGAGAAAAATTGAAAAAGGGAGGGATAAAAAAGAGTGGGCCTAATGAACGGACGCAGGACACTTGGACTGTTGGAGATTTCTTTCTTTCTTGCTTTTTTAATTTATTTTTATTTTTATCCTTGGTAGGTCGCGGTGTCGAGTCAAGTCGATAGATACTATTCTATGTACTCCGTATGCAGGCAATGGTAATAAGAGGACGTGGCCTTTTATGGGAGACTATAGAGACGGATATTTGACCTATATTATGTCTAGACGACTTTACAGACACCTATACACTCCGTAGTAAGGGATCATATCTTGAGGATGTGTCGATATAGTATTCATCCGTACTCGGTATATACCATAGATTACCGAGCAATCTATATCTACCTTTATGAAGCATCAAAACCGTCTGAAATGAATCCCTAGAAATCAATCGAGTCGACAAAAAATAGACATCAAAATCGAATGTCACCAAGAATGAATTACATTGTTTATTTATAACGCTTCCAAGATAACCACCATCTGAAAGCGGTCTGCCGAGGAGGTTGGAGGATTCATCCTTCACCGCATTCCGCATGGATGCCGACGGATCTGTATGGTCTTACACCCTCTCAATTGACGAAGTTTATGTCGATTGAGATGAAATGAATTACTTCAATCTGAACGATCGATTAGTCTTGTCTGGATATAGATCATTGTTCAATCAATTGGCAGAACCATTCCCTATTATGTTGGTAGGATAACTACAAAGTATAGTCGTGTATGGATGGCTATTCTCGGGCACATGCAATTAGACTCTGGATATCCCGGTGGCGTGGCAGAATTCTCTGATCAAATAGTCAATAGTAATACCTATCATACCGATCCAGAAGATGTCTATCGAGATGGGGTTCTGGAAACACGGAGCTTGGCATCCACACTGGTTTGTCGAGGCCGAAAAAAAAAAATTGAAAGACCTTTAATTTGCCATCGGATGTTCGGAAGTCGACGAAAAGAAGGGAGTTTCCCCGGGTGGATTGAGCGAGAGATTACGGAACTCCTTGTTTTTGGTTCGGTTCACGGTCAACACGGGGAAATGGAGGTGTAGTTACTACTGGATAGTTAGAAGAAACCATTACTCTATGAATATGAAGATGTTGTTGATAGTTAATACAAATATGGATGACAAGTGTTATGAATAAATCCCGCAAGGTGCATAATTAATCTTCATTGTTCGAAAGAGCAGCCTGAAAAAAGAACCAGAATAATCTCGCAGTCTGGGTGGGAATCGGGAGATATCGGCTTTCGTTGCCTGGGCCAGCATTAGCGCCGGGTCGTTTTTCTTTTTTTTTTTCTTCCTCCCAAACAAGAAAGAAAGAGGGAACAAAAAAGGCAAATTAAAAGAATGAAAAAAATAAAAAATAAAAGATAATAGAAAAAAAGAAGAAAATTCAGAGGCCAGCAAAGCCAAAAAACCCCAAACCGAACCAAACCAAGAAAACGCAAGTCCCACGGTCATATCCCAAGCCCGCCTAAACCGGACTAGCGGCTCCGCTCGCTTCTTCCCGCTTACAAGAGCCCTTCGCTCGCTATTTTTTCATCCTCCCTTTCCCCTTCTTTTCTCTCTTTTTTTCTCCATCCCTTCTGAAGTGTCTTCTTCTTCCTGACACTCTCTTTCATCCCCATCTCCTCTCCTCTCCTCACCTTCCCTCATATCCTTTCACAGCAGTCAAAATGGCCGCCGGTGATGTTAACCAGGGCGAGAAGTCCGTCTTCGGCATGCCCGTAAGTTGCAATTGACACCCTCCTTCATCTGGCGACCTGGAAATCCGGGATCCCGCGCTCTCTCGACAAGAATCTCGATGGACCTCAAAGAGGTCATGGATGGATGGAGGTTGTTGAGCGGAGCGGGTCTCGAGTGGTTTCGAAGTCGTTGGATGCGGTTTTTCGATCGAATGGTATACTAATGAAAATTTTTTTCACAGGGATTCGTCGTCGACTTCATGAGTATGTCTACCCAATTTACTCTACTGATCGACGCGCAATGGAGACACGATTGGTGTCCATTGCAAATCGAATCAATTGCATATAACTACCCTTCCCTGGACTGTTACTAACGGATTCGCAGTGGGTGGTGTGTCCGCTGCCGTCTCCAAGACCGCTGCCGCCCCCATCGAGCGTATCAAGCTGCTCATCCAGAACCAGGTTGGTTATCCCATCTCCTCATTCTTGGTTTCCAAGCTCCGGAAAAGGAAGATGAGCCATCATTGCTGCCACGCTTAGACTGTTGGCGGGAACTGATCGGCCTCGTGAAGAATTTTCTGGGCCGAGACCCGGGCTTTCATCAAGATTGGTTATTAACAATTCCTCCAGGATGAGATGCTGCGCGCCGGTCGTCTCGACCGCAAGTACAACGGCATCAGCGACTGCTTCAAGCGTACTGCCGCCGCTGAGGGTGTCGTCTCCCTGTGGCGCGGTAACACCGCCAACGTCATCCGTTACTTCCCCACCCAGGCTCTGAACTTCGCCTTCCGTGATACCTACAAGTCGATGTTCTCCTACAAGAAGGAGCGTGATGGATACGCCAAGTGGATGATGGGTAACCTTGCCTCCGGTGGTGTATGTTTTCTGTCCCCTTGATGTTTCTGTCCAGAGAACTAACAGATATAGGCCGCTGGTGCCACTTCCCTCCTGTTCGTCTACTCCCTCGACTACGCCCGTACCCGTCTCGCCAACGACGCCAAGTCCGCCAAGGGCACTGGCGAGCGTCAGTTCAACGGTCTCGTTGATGTCTACCGCAAGACTCTGGCCTCCGACGGTATTGCCGGTCTCTACCGTGGTTTCGGTCCTTCCGTCGCTGGTATTGTTGTCTACCGTGGTCTGTACTTCGGCATGTACGACTCCATCAAGCCCGTTCTCCTGGTCGGCCCTCTCGAGGGTAGCTTCCTTGCTTCTTTCCTGCTCGGCTGGACTGTCACCACTGGTGCTGGTATCGCTTCTTACCCTCTGGATACCATCCGTCGCCGTATGATGATGACCTCCGGTGAGGCCGTCAAGTACAGCTCTTCCCTCGATGCTTTCCGCCAGATCGTCGCCAAGGAGGGCACCAAGTCCCTCTTCAAGGGTGCCGGTGCCAACATCCTCCGTGGTGTTGCCGGCGCTGGTGTCCTGTCCATCTACGATCAGGTCCAGCTCCTGCTCTTCGGAAAGCAGTTCAAATAGACGATTGATTCAGTTCAATTCGTTGAAAAGCGATGGGGAAGGGGATGATCGGCTTCTGGCGTAACTGCCAGTGGCTACTGTGGAAGAAGAATCTTTAGAAGAGATGTGTCAAGATAGTTATCTTGCGCATGCGCAGTGTGTCATTTTTTTCCTCGTGTACTAGTTGTACTTTACTGCCTGCAAGCTATTTCTTTTTCTCTGTATTCTTTTTTCTACCGGTGAACACGGTAATCGTAAATCATCCGTCGTAGGCTGAGCCAGATCATAAAACTCTGCACGCGGTCAGCACGCCATTCACATGACCGGTCACATGACAGTCCATCAATGACGTACGTCGATGGTCTCTGCACGGATATAGCTATAGAAGAGACAACCATAACGAACCTCAGTTCAACCACCATACCATCCAGATGACGACCCCTTCATCTCCGGACGCGCAGGCGTCTCACCCACGGACGTCCTCTCCTACCAAGACAGACCCAACTCCTACCTCCGCCGAGGCCACCACAGCTGAAGCCCCAGCTCCAGTCCCAGCGACAACTACTGCACCTCCACCCCCAGGACCCTCCCCAGCTACGACGTCCATCGCCGCAGAACCAGAGCCTCTCCCGTCTCTTCCAGAGCAGACTGCCCCTCCGCTGGCAGCAGCGGACCACCAAGCTAACCAGCTTCCGAACCCGACAACTACCACCACCGCCACGGAGACGACGTCGAGTACTTCCCCTCCTCTGCCGCAACCGGGTCCGACTGCCGTTCCTCCTACGTCTACGCCCACGCAGCAGGAGCAGGAGAAGACACCACACGCTCACCCCCCGGCTCCAGTACCAGCTCCGGCCCCAGCGCCAGCAGCCCCAATCCCAGCCGCAGCACCTACAACCCACAGCAGCTACAGTCCCAGCTACGGCAACTACAGCTCCCCCGCTCAAAATCTCAACCCCACTCCCAACCCCAACTACGGCTATAGCTACGGCTACAGCTACGGCACCGGCACCGGCACCGACACCACCCAAAGACACCCCTACGGTTCGCACCAACCAATAGCGCCCATAAAGACCGTGACTCCGCAAGGGTGGATTCCCCCTACCTCCGCTACAGACAGTTACAATACATCATACGGCAGGGAAGTGGACCAGTACCCGCAGGAAGAAGAAGGTATTCTCGGCACCGCGATGAGCTGGGCTCGTAGTGCGGGTGAAAAATTGGCGGATGTCGAGGCTGCTGTTTGGAAGAGGATAAATGATGCCCATGGGGATGGTGGGCCGGGGGATTCATCGAAGGAGTCTTGATATTCTATTTATCCGGGCTTTTCTTTCTTTCTTTTAGTTGATGCATGGGAAGTATGTACTATGTGGCTTTGGTATCTTTATTTGTTGGGCTCTGTTTGCAGTTTGGGTTGGTTTGGTTAGTTAGGTAGGGTCTACTAAAAACTTGGGTGTCTAGGTAAATTGGGTCTGGCTGGTTGGTTAAATGGTTACATGGATGGGTGGTTTTCAGGTTGTTCAGGCGTTTTCGATTGTGTCTTATTATAGTCCTTCATGGTTGCATGGCTCTAAACAACGCCTTTTAGTTTTCTTACTTACCTAACTGTAGTAACGTACTATCTATCTATCTGGCTTTAATCCATTAATCCATCAATCAAAGATCAAGTAAATTACTTCGTTCCTCAGCGAGAATCAAATCTAATACTGGATATAGTCTATCTATCTATCTAGGTATCTGCCTGGATGAATATAATCACTAACAGATAGATAGTCTATACGCATGATTTTATTTACACTGAAGACACAAACCATCATGAGTTGCGTTACCTGGTCAGTACAATGTCTTCTTTACTACCTACCTACCTGCCTTAGGTACTAGTAGTAGTAGCAATAGTAGTAGATGCTACGTATACGGATACTGGGGAAAGTCATACCTTATTAGGATTCATCTATCTTATCAGGTCCATACTTTGACGATGGATCTAGAGGGACTTCTGGTATATTGTGTGGAAACTGTCCGTTCGATCGGTGATTGTGGGCATTTTGTTGGTTATAATGTAATATGATATGAGAAGATAATGTAGGAGGTAGTATGGACAATCCTTCCTGTGTGTATGTGTGTATGTATGTACGCATGATGTATGCAACAATGCACACGGGCAAGTAAAATCAAAGCAAGAGGTATATAGTCTGCCCTGTCTCCGAGTTCCAGTCTCAGACAACACAGTCACGATCGTAAACATGAAAATGAATGGACAGAAATAAACATGCAACACTGGTATAAGTAGCCAGTCTGTATCAAACAGTTTCAAAAGAAGAGTGGGGAGTATAAAACGTAAAAGTAGAAGAAAACGCCAGTCATAATATAACCTAACCGAACCTAACCTAACTGTCCCATCCCAATCCAGCCCAATGCATGTGCCAGTCTGTCGAACCGGTCGACTTTTGTGTAGCTCTCGAATTACTAATATATGTCGTAGTCGAATGTAGAAAAGAAAAAGAAAAGAAAAGAAAACAGGCCGGCCGTTACAGACCTAATGGATGTGCCCAGAGGATACGATACCATCAGGCCAAGAATGATTACATCGATCCAAGTCGTAAGAGCGCCTCCGCTGCAGCGCGTTCACCGCCGTCGGGGAGAGAGAACCCCAGTTGTTGGATGGGGACCTTGAGTGGAGCGGATTTGGCGAGGGAGGATGAAGCGGGGCCGCCGCCCCGCAGTTGAGAGGACGGAGGTCGCTCGCCGTTGATAAAGAGACCACCCCCATTCAATGACTGCGCACGGAGCGCGTCCGCTCCGATCTGCGCCCAGTCTTCTTCGTCTGTGACGTCCTCTTCGCGGTAGTCGTCATCCGGAATGTCGTCGTCAGGCGCCTCCGACGAAGAGCAGTAGTCCCGTCCATCTCCATCTAGGGACATCTTGTCGGCCTCGTGGTCGAGCATGTCCTCGAGCATGGGGTCCTCCGTGTACGAGAAGACCGCCGAATCGCCCGTCACACTGGTCCCGTAAGGCTGCAGACTGTCCCGCTTGGTGGGAATCTGCATCCCGGGTCGAGGGTACGAGCTGGGAAAGCTGGATGGGGGCGACTCATTCGAGTGGTGGTGATCGCGCGCGGATTCGCCGTGGCGACGCGCATCCCAGCGACCCCAGCCAACCTTCTCGAAGATCACCTCGCCCGTCTCGTCTTGACCGCCTCGTTCCAGCGCGGCGACGACTAGCCGGCGCGCTTTGGCGGGCGGAATGCGCGAAAAGCCCGGGACGGAGGTCGTGAGGAATCCCGTGACGTGGCGGATCGCCAAGGGGCCATGCTGGCGCATGATCTCTGGCAGGTGGTGGCGAGCCAGCATCTCCGGGGTGATGGCACCGACGCTGTCCAGACCGGCAGCCGTCTCATGGGACGGCCCATGGCCGTCGGGGTGGGCGGCGGCGTCTCCCAGGTCGATGTCAGAGTCAAGCTGGGAGGTGGGCAGCGGTGGGGAGCCGGGAAGGTCCGCATCCCGACGCCGGTAGGCCTGAGGAGGAAGCGTGGGGGATATGGAGTTCGGAGGAGTAGGCAATAGGGTAGGATGGCCCGGACGGGTGGCGTCGTGACTGCCGGACACGAAGCCAGACCGGGGCTTGGGGATGTCGACCGAGGCGGTCTTGCCGGCCAGGGCCATGGCAATACTGGAGGTTGTCTGCGGAGCCATGATTGCGGATCGATGAAGGACGGAGGGACGATGTCAAGGGGTTGTGATGTCTAGTAGATTGGGTCTTGAAACTCAGGTGGCTAATTACCTAGATCGTCGATATGAGTCAGGGGACGAACCACGGAACGCATGACCTTAAGCCAACAAAGAACGGTGCGACCTGACAAAGAAAACCCCCCGAGGAGAACTGAATGGTTGAGACTTACTGCACCAGATTCCAAGGTTGTTGAGGAGGAGCGGTTTGGACGGTAGACACAGCAACAAAGACTGTGTCTCTATCAGGGAAGGGAAGAAATGCGATGCGATGCGATGCGATGCGACGCGCTACTGAGCGACTAGTATGTGATAAGACGCGACCGTCGGGAGGGAGACAGTCAAGTGATTTTCAGGAACGAGATGAGGAACTAGCAAGGAACAAACAACCAGGATGAACAATCGAAGGTGCAATCAACAGGATTTGATGATGGAGAGAAGGAGGAGGGAAGAAGTCAGAAGAAGAGAGGAGAGGAGGAAAGGCCAAATGGAAGGAGGGGAAGGGGGAAATGGAAGTAAGGAGGGAATGATGGCAGGTGATAATAATAGTATAGTATAGAGTAGAGTGATCCCCCTTTAGGACGGATTAGGGATGATTAGGGATGATTAGGGGAATGAGCAGTGAATGGAATGACTGTATTGACCATACAGGTATGTATATAGTATACCCCGTAGTAGAATCCTTGAATAGAGAAAGAGTCATTCAGCAGGGATTCTTCTTCTTATCTTCTTTCTCTCTATACTCCATCCTCTACTCCGTACACTATAATTATCTATAATCTCCGTCATAGTTATGCCCCAGCCGACCCAGTGTATCCAAACTTCTGTGGTTACAAGACCCATACGGGTATCGCGTGGTCTGCTTCATTGGCCCACAGTGGTCGGGCCCGCCCTGGACAGCCCCGGGAGGTACCGGAGCCACCGATCAGACTGTATGAGATTACCATACCATACCATCCCTTTCACTATCTATGGGAATAGTACGAAGTATCATTGAGTACAATTCAAGGCACGTGGGTGACCATAGACAACCCTCACTGGCCGCCTCTCTTTCTCCTCACTTTCCAACCTCTGCCTTTCTTCCCTTCCTTGGATTCTGCCTAACTTTATTTCTCTTCTATCCAAGGATGATTGAGATCATTCGCTGCATATGTGGTCAACTCCTTCTCTGATTTGTCCCTCGCCTCTTGTCATTGTATTGCACTTTAATCAGGTTGCAGATGCAGAGGGGTAACTTCCAATCAAATCCATGACTTTAGATACATGGAACAGACCGGGAACACCTGGCATCCGACAGACAGTTCTTGACCATCCGTTCTCGCACGGTCATCTAGGATCTACAAGTGGACATTCACCTAGACAGGAATGACTTCAGCCGAGGACTTGGCCGGGTCAGCGTGCCGTTTTCGTTTCCCCCCTCAGTCCGCATGGTCCTCGATGGTTCATTTCCTAAGGTTCTCAAGATAAGAAGACCCCCGGTGGGGACCGTCCGAGTGCGGGGGTCGCGGTCAGGGCGCAATCCCAATAATGCGCTTGACAAATCCCGGTGTGCGGAATAATCTACTATTCCTACGTACCTGGCTACCTACGGACTGTCTGTATTGTTCGGAGTATTCTATGCCGTTCCTGATTCCCAGCGAAATGGCGTGCTTCCATCATCCTGGTCAGATTATCAGGTACGTCATCCATGATGTTGGAGTATCACGGATGATTTATAGTTTTTGTGGGAAGAACAGAAACAAGGCAGGCAACAGGGAAGACGAACCCCCCACTTATTGGTATATGGCTCATCCACGTAGCCGCGGTCAACTGTTTGCCTGGGTAAGTATCGGGCGATGCCCCTCGCCCGATACCCGGTGGGGCCAACCGTTCGATGAGCCGACACTTTCGCAATACTCAACTATGCCAGTCGTTCGTTATACCCCAAAGCAGGTAGTAATTCCCTCACATTTACCCCAAATACTCATGGTAAGAAAATTAGCTAGCCTGTTTCTTGATGACTTGCGTAATGTTGGGCGTCCTACCGATGACTAAAGAGTAATCAATCGCTGCGTCCTCTCTTCTGTTGTCCTTTCCGCCGTCATGTCAACCAACCATGGTGGTTCTTCGGTCTGACGGCTGACAAACAGAATTCTATGTACTGGGACATAAGCCCTAAATCTTGCCTTGCCATGACATTCATTTCTCAGAAACAAAGCATAGCGACTGGAAAAACACTACAACGCAATACAATCCCACCAGCCACCTCCAACTCCAATGCAGCATCATGCCGCCTTTGCAATGAGTGACCAGCATGCACGTAACATGCAGCTGAACTGCAGGCACGGCCTTCCATATTCGGAGAAAGCCCGCGAGTGTCACTAGGTCCTTTCCAGCCCCCGGGGGACCAAGCTGGCCTTGATATTACTAAGTACCCTGCAAGTACACGAGAACTCGAAACTCTGACATACATACATACATACTGAGGTGGAGTCATCCTCGTCATCTTTTCATATCTTGGTTGAAAGGTGGGTCTTGATACCGGAGAACACTGGCGTGAGACTTGATGTTACATTAATTCGTCCTTTTCTCCTGCCCCTCTTCTATCCCCGGTGGCCTGGAGATAAGGATTCGTGCGGTATCAACTAGCTAACTACTAACAGTGTAGCACGGGCCACTCACACACAAGGCTGAATGGAGTATACGGCCCCATTTATGTAATGATATGGCCGTCATCCACGACTGTCTCGGCTGTTATTGCACATTATTAACTATCTACTTCTAGCCAATACCAACCCTCGAATTACATTGCTCAAAAACAGATATTGAATATTATAGATTATATCACTTGAGTTATATCTCTGTTCAGCGCACACCAGGAGAAGAAGGCAAGAACCCGACGCGAACAGGATATTCAGCACTTTTTGCTACAGCGCGTTTCAATCGCAAAGGAGTGCAGACACGCATCCCTAGGGAAAATTTCGCCATTCGTCTATCGTTCTGGAATCCCTCAATCATGTGCGCTAGAGGCCACAGCGGATGTGTCTCTTTTTCTACGCCCATGTCAGCTCGGACAAGAGCCAGCCACTCGGCCGTGGACTTCCCCTGAAGTCTGTACCCGAGACTTTCGAGGATGGACCAGATATCTCTCCACGTTATCCTGTCTGCGGGACACTTGGTGGCGTTCTTCTCTACGTTCTTACCTAGCGCTGCGTCGATGATCGCCGCCGCGGTGGTTGTAACGTCGGAAACGAATAGCCACCCGTCAGCGTCACGGGTGTTATACGCGCCTATTTTAATGCACGTCGCTACCAGTCGCCAGATATAGTCGCCGGTGTTGGACACGCCCTCGTCGGGTGTGCCGGTGACCCAGCCGGGGTTCAACACTGCGAGACGGCCAGTCTCGGATAGGTTGGACTGCGCTGCACGCCTAGCGACGGCTTCGGCAACGAGCTTCGTTTGGCTGTACGGAATTGCATCGGCGACTGAGAGCTTTTTCATCACGTCGGGCTCTTCGAGAGAGCTCCGTGGTCGACCGCCGGTGATATACAGAAATATCATGTAGGGTAGTCTGCTGGCGAGAAGCAGCAACTCTACGGTCGAGCCAACACTGGCTGCCTCTAGGACTTCGTAGCTTTTTGTCCAGTGCACTGTGGCGCCAGCGTGGATGATGATATTAGCCGCTTGGCCTCCAGCCAAAGAATCCAAGTGTTTTGGGTCAAGCCCTAGATTCGGCAGGGATAGGTCCCCCCCTCAGACGTCAAGATTTTCTGCATGGTGGTCTTCCCACCAGAGCGCTGTCACAGCCGTATCAATGGTGCGATATCTGGCTGCCTCATCGACCTCGCCGCGTACAAGGCTAGTCACCCACTTGACGTGGCGAAGTCCTAGGAGCTGGCGTAGGATTTGAGTGCCGATGAAACCGCTGGCGCCGGTTAAGAAAACGCTGAAGGTTTGATTGTCTTTGTTCATCAGCGGGTCATTTCTCGGGGAGCGACCATGGCTTGAAGTCTCGTGCCGGGCAGCCATAAGTCTCGCGTCATGTCGGTTGATCTCGGCCATGAGGTCAACTGAGGTCAATGTCGCAGTTGAACCATGCCCGGAAAGACACTTTTAGCAGCAGAGGCCTGGCAGTCTACTAGATACTGAGCGAGGCTCTTGATGCTGGTTACACCGCTCATTAGAAACCGCATGTGAACATGGACATGGAAATTCTGCGAGATGAAAGAAGCGAGTTCCATCATGTCTACCGAGTCGAGACCTGCGGACTGTAATGACACGTTCTTGAACCCAGCCGTTCCATTCTGGGATTCGTCTTTTCCAAATGAGACGTTTCGCCGGGTCCACGAAGGACGCAAGGAATGCATTTTCCGAGCCAGTGTGTACGCCGGCTGTTCAGTCTCCAATATTGGCTCGTCTAGGGGACACCCTTCGCCAAGGAACTGCTCAGACGTGTCCAACAACCTCTCTCGGTCAGCAGCACCGTCCGGCCGGTTTCGTGCAGCCGTCGCCGGTCTGTCTTTCCCGTGGCAGTGAATGGTAGCTCCAACACAGAAAGAAAAACTGCCGGCACCATGTAGCCCGGTAGGTGATGCGCGAGTTTCTTCTTGATGGTGGCCACCGTCGGATATTTCACGGGTGTGCAGGGCACTTCTTGGTCAGTTTGCGTGGCAGTCGTGCGTTCTTGAATGAAAAAGGCCGTTAGCACCGGTTTGGGATCCGTCTCCGCCCCAAGCACAATAACTTCAGCCGCAACCTGGGCCGCTCTTGACGGCATGCACTTCAAGATATGATGTTCAACCTCTTCGAGCTCAATGTGCTGTCCTCTGATTTTGGTTTGACCATCATTGCGGCCCACAAACGACAGACTTCCGTCTTCATTGTATCGCACCAGATCAGCCGTACTGTAAAGTCGACCACGACGCCCGGGTTGACCAATTGAACCTTCCAGAAGCCATTTAAGATCTTCTATGAATGCTTCAGCGGTCTTTCCTGGGTCATTCATAATAACCCTTTCCAACGAGCGGTCCCTCCAGGAGCAGTTCGCCGGTACATCCGGGGGGCAACAGGACGCTCTGGTCTTCTGGATCGACAATCCATGTTACGAGCCCCACACCCTTTCCTATCCGCATAGCCTCTTCAGCGCTGGCACTCAAAGAGTTGATAGTGCTAATTGGGGTGCGTTCAGCGGGTCCATATGTGTTGATAAAGTGGACGTTGTGTGGCCTCCATCGCTCGGCATCTCTGGCCGTGACCGGCTCGCCTAGTAAGATCAACGTCTTCAGACTTTTCAATGCTTCTGGATCGACCAGACGTGCCACCGTTGGAGTCAGATTTGCCATCGTGGGCTGCATGACCGAAATGATCTTGGTAAGGTCATTCTTGCATGTTTCTTCAAACGGAATGCACAGGCATCCTCTTGCAACAAGAGTAGCTATCACGTTGTGGACCGCGGCGTCAAAAGCATAAGACGCAAAATCCAAAACCCTAGACTCCCTCGTAAACCCGAGAAGGACGAGCTGGTGGTCAACAGCAGAGCAGAAGTTGACGTGTGTGACCAGTACGCCTTTGGGGGTCCCGCTACTGCCGGAAGTGAAGACTGCGTACATTATCTTCGACGATGGCTGCGACAATGCCGTGAAACTTGTAGCATGACCCGGGGCACGACGCTGGGCATGGCTTGGAGACTGCAGGAGATCTGGGCCAATTTAGACGACAATCTCCGATAGCTTTCGGCTCAAGCTCACATCGACGTGGGAGGATAGAAGCACCCGAGAGCCCACTTGGTAGATTATCGATCGTAGTCGGGGCTCAGGAAGCGACGGATCGAGCAACACAAAGCCTGCACCAAACTTCAGGACGCCAAGAATGGACACGACGGCCCATGCGGACTTCTCTAAGCATAAGGGTATCAGCAAGGAAATTGATAGTAAGTCACCACAGGTCGTGTACTCTCATGTATAGATGATAAAGTGTAGATAGATACCTGGATATGGCAACCTGTAGCTTCCACAAACACAATTACCTCCATGAATATCTGCCGTGATTTCTGACGAATACCACACATTCACTATCTTGCTGAGCATGGAGTCGCAAATCCAACAATCTACAACTGCCACCTCTCTACATAGGCACATCCCTTGTAGATCTAGCCCAACGCTTGACTTCCTCGCACAGACCCTATGCATGTTCTTCTCATGTTGGGTCTCCCTTGCATAAGTAACTCCTCGCCGAGATTGGCATCATGTCGTATCTACCGGCAATGACCCTGCACGCTCATTCGATCACCACTCGCCCAATCTCTGATAGGAACGAGTATATGATTCAGTTTGTTTTCTCTGTAGCCAGTCTCACCATCTCTCCAGTTCCTGGGGTTCTAATAGAGATTCGACTATGACTAGATTAGGATAGGGACACTGACCTACCTCTGCGTGGGAATTTGATATACGATGATGGGCTGTATCTAGGCAGGAGTCTATAGTAGTCTTTGGGATGTGACCACTGAAGATTTATCAGAGATCGCATAATATAGTCTCAGGGAATGGGTATCATTATAAGAGTAGGCACACTCATACATTTGTTAGAAATGTTCATACTCTGCAATATCACTTTACTACTCATGATTAGTTGGCTGAATGGGATCCTTGCTTAGCGCAGATGAATCTGCAGATCGATAGTTTTGCTTGGGGGCTGATTGTCTAATATTAAGTTCTTCAGTATTTCCATTGAGTCTATAGAATCTGATCTATTCACGAGTCATATAGACCACCTGGTTGTACAGTAGCTAATTCTTGATGGAAGGAAGTAGATCAACCCCATGATAACCAACTCGGTATATTAGAATCTTCAGATGGAAGGAACACAGACATATGTGCAAACTTGTCTACTGCCATGGATTTGAGACAGACAGAGACATGCATGATATAATCGATATGATCCCTATCAATGGGGATGATGATACGGATAGTGCAGGTTGAACATGAAATTGAGTACATTCCTCAAATAGATAAATAATAGTATCCAGTCCCGGTATCCGTCCTCATCTCACTCTAGATCCATTCCACTTCACCTTCGTCTCAGTCGAAGGGAGTGTGGTTAGTGGACTTTCTTCCTTTTTGCTTTCTCCCGTACGTGAACAAGAGATAAAGCATAAAGCGCCTATGCAGCAAAGCAGTGGGCAGTAAAACAAGGAAGACAAAGGTAAGAAGAGATGAAATGCACTTTTTTGTTTTCCTTTTTTTTCTTAATCATTAAGAGAGAAAAAAAAATAATTTCCTTTTCAATTCAGGTTCGGTTTTCAGTTTCCACATCGCATAATGCTGAGAGAGCAAAGTTAAAAAGAAAAAACTTTCAAAAACCGAATCTATTCGTCATCCTCCTCCTCCTCCTCGTCGACGGTGGTCTTGGCGATCCGGTCCAGATCCCGCTGGCCACTCTGCGAGATGCGGCGGCCGCCCTTGTCCTCGTCCTGCTCGAGCACGCCGATCTTCTCCAGAGACTGCATCACCTTGCGGTCGACGGACCCGGAGGCGTCGACGTGGTGGGCCGGGCGGGCACCACGGTTCTTGGTGGAGCCGTGGACCTTGCGCAGACGGCCAACACCGACGGTCTTGCGCACGTAGATGTGACGGGCGACGGCGGCGGCACGGACGTAGTACCTTGAATCTTGGTCAGTTGCTGCATTCATGAGATTTGATGTTGATCGAGGTGGCGGTCGTACCAGTCAGGATCCTGGGGAGGGAGCTCGTTGGAGGCGGAGGTCTTGACGGTATCGACCCAGCCTAGTAGTCGTTAGTACATATAACTCCCCTTGTGCAATTGCCGCAGATATAAAGGATGACATACCGGGGATGGGGAGCTTGCCCTGACGCTTCAGGAACGCCGAGTAGGCAGCAATGAACTTCTGCGCCTGTAGTGGAACGAAGATGTTAGCGTTTAAATGTCCCATATCAGATTTTGACCTGGACATGGACACCCGGATCCCCGATTCCCAGCAGTCGGCAGTCGGCAGATTTGGCAAATTCGATATTCGTACGGCGCTGGTCCCAACCGATCAGATCGGTCATCCAGTGCACGGCGCAGCATCGATGCAATGCACCGTGATCGTAGAGTCCATGTTCTCAAGTCCTGGTCGAGTCGCAAATCCTGCAGCGAAATCCACACGCAAGAATCGTAAAATAATCGCGTCATCCATGACCATTTTGAAAGAGCATCCAGTCGAATTCGACACTCCCATGTCGATGGATAACTATCCGTAAGGTTCCTCCGAAAGTAAGGTCTCGGAGTGAGCGAGATCAATCCTCTCTCACCATCCTTCAGTCGTCCCAACTTCCAATGTCGTTTCCTCGCGCATAAAAAAACCCGAGCGTCACAGCGTAGATGTACCGAATATCGAGTGGGAAAAGAATCTGCCAAATCTGTCCAAGCCGCCTGTCTGCCCGTTTCGTCCACGAGAAAGAAGATCCTGCCTGTCCAAGTCCAGTTCCGGGGGAGGTGTAAAAAGCAAGCAAGCAACTTACGTCCACATCGCGAACGGAGACACCACCCATTTTTGCGACTTGAGACCTCGAAGGTGAACGGAGGGGGCGAGTTGAGGGAGGGAGGGAGGCGGGAGGTGGGATGGGTGTCGTTGTCGTCGTTGAAGTCGGTCGGGGAGTCGGACGGAGGCGGCCTCGAAATTCGCACACAACAGAATAATCGATGGACTTTCTCGGTTGTGTGTCGGTTGCACGCTAGGCCGCTTTGGGTTTAGCTGTACCCTAACCTGTTTCCCCCTATTTGTGGTTTAGCGTATATGCCTGAGGCAGTCAATTTTATACACCAGTCCATATCGGGCTAGTCTCTTATGGTCACTGCTTCAGATACTATCCATCCATGTACTACGGAGTATGTACCATGTAGACTCCAGAACTTAGTATTAGAGATGATCATATTGTGTAAGGATATCATGTAATTCTATCATACAAAAAATATAGGCTCGCGTTTCGCTCGACCGCATCGCATCCAGTACGCGTTTATCAAAACAAAAAGGATATCATCAAGCAAACTACAAGGTCGGGGCCCGCTGCAACCCAACACAATACCGCACAAACAGCGTGTCCATAAAATGTCCGTGGCGGATGCCCGGTGGTCGCCGTCGCTCAAACTCGTCAATCGCCTCCTGCACACTATACCCGCACCGCTCGATCAGGTACGACACGAGCAAGAATCCCGTCCGGTTGAACCCGTAGTGGCAGTGGACGCCCACCACTGGACGCTTACGGTCCCCGGACTTTTCCATCTGCTCGGTGATTTCACTCTGGATTCGATCTACCAGAGCGATGAAATCCCGCGTCTCGTCGGGCGTCGGAGGGATCTTGGAGACGGTGGGGTGCTTGTGGTAGTGGATGCCGCCTCGTTCCAGCGAGGCCGGGTTGTACACCGGGTTCTCGTAACTGATGTCAATCACCGCGTAGATCTGGTCGTGGTACTTCTGCGCAAACAGTTGCGGATTATGCTCCTCGTCCACCTCCCGCAGCATCTTGAGAGCGACGAATGTGTCGGCGATCCGCTCCGAGACAGGTGGAACCTTCTGCCATTTGACCAGGTTCTTCACATCCCACTTGCCAGAAGTATTGAGATGCTGTAGCTGCCATCCCAGGCTGAGACGGTGGTCAACGTGTTTTCGGAGGAAGTCTTGGATGATCCCCGACAAAGTGCGATACGTCGCACGATCGTAGATCAGCGCGTGAGAGGCCGGTGCAGGGAGAACGACGGTCTTGACACAGCGTTTGGTCCGAACTGGCTTCGTTTCGGCCTGATGATCAGCATCCTTTTCCACACAGGATGCTGAAACATCGCCAGAGTCGGACTTTTGGTCGTGGACTTGGGACGCATCAGGAGCGCGGTGGGTGATGTCCTGGTCTTGGGACTTCGTATCTCCGAAAAAGTTGAGGATTTTCCGAAGCTCCCCAGGTTTCGTAACGGCGTCTGATTCTCCAGCCACAAGAAGCACAGGCAGAGTCACACCAGCCCAGATATCGCGCCCCGGAATACCGCCGGTCGGTTTACCACTGCTGTCGTATTCGGGAAGCGTCCCCCAAGCCATCCGTCTCCAGACCGCGGTCTTGCTCTGCTTATTGTACCGCACTTGGAGATGGCGGGTATCAGGATCGGCAGCGGCGCCAACAAGTCTATTGACGCTGGCACTATACAAGCCGCCCCGTCGATCCCAGCAACGCCAGATATCGAAGACAGGCCCTGGGATTTGAAGAAGACGGCGGAAACTCGTGACTTCCTTGGGGCTCGGAGGAGATGCGCGAGGGCAGACGGCGATCAGTCCCAGAATGTGTTGTTTCAGGTCCCCGCCTAATGACGAGGCGGAGGAGGCCAAAAGCGCAGACAACGAGCAGCCGAGACTATGAGCGATCAGGATCACGCCTTGCCCGGCCTCTTTATCACGGTGCTGATCAATGGAGGTGGCCAGTAGCTCCGCCATTGCATCGACCGTGTACGCATCCCACGAAGTCGGGGCGAAGTCCGACAGGCCACAACCGGGGAGGTCGATCCCAAAGCATGGGCCGACATTAGACAAGGTGGTAAGAAGGTGGTTGAACTGCGCCAAAGAGCCCCCGAGCCCGTGGACGAAAACCAACAACGGGATCGGGGTGGGTTTGGTTGGCAATTTGTCCATCTGTGGGTGGGGACGGTAGAATGTCCGGACAGACGGATAAGTAGCAACAGAGGTCGAATAGGACAGATACGAAGAGTGTTTCTTCAGTAAACCGGGGTCTGTATCGTGTGCTGATTGACGTCAGTCCGGCCGATGACAAGGATAGGAAGGAATCCCGACTCACCTTCTTCCGACTTCTCCTGATGGTGCGACGAGGCATCTTTTTCAGGGACCGTGCTATCTGTGCCAGGGCGCAGAGAGGTTTTGCTATCAAATTCTTCTTCGTCGGAGGAGGTTATTGTCTCTTCCGCAGAAGCCTTGGAATGGGTTCTCCGCAACCCGCGACGAAGCCGACTTCTTTCGTGAGACGGCCTGCCGAATCTCCGCCACGTCAACGAAGAAAAAAGCCCACACCCGGCCATGGCGAAGCAGAAT